TTTCTTTTTTCTTTTCTTCTTCTTTCTTTTTTCTTTTTTGCATCACCACACTTCTAGAAATTCTCACTTTGCCAATAGCTCGTGTCTTGCTCGGCTTGTCGTGCCCTCGCCTCCCTTGATTCGCCACATGCGGGTAAGTAGGTGTATATAGGGCGCGTTAGGAAAAGAGACGGCTTACGTCACTTCACCAGAGGTAGCAAAGTGGGTTCCTCTCTGCTGGAGCATTTCTTTCGTTTCGTCTAGTCTATGTGCTATCTCCTCTGCTTCTTTTATACTCATTCTAGCGGTCCATACCCGGTACGTGTATATCATTTCACGCGTATACTCCTTTACGAAGCAAGTGCAGCAGGTTCACCGCAAACGTGCCTCGATTTCGGGCGGACATGATGTCAGTTTTTAGAGGTCAGGATGCCGATTTTGGAGGCCACCCACCAGACCCTCACCACCGTGAGTGTTGACTCAGTCCACCGTAGCGTCTAATCGATTTCAATGGGAGCTGGGCGCATACAAGTTCACCGCAGCACACGGATGAATCTCGGTCTTTCAAGCCAAAAACATGAAGGTTACCAAACATCTCGCTCGCACTCAACGCCCTCCAGAATACTACCGATCAAAACGCCAACAACTTACCACAGATAGGGCTATCAAGAGGCAGCACGCACCCACAACCAAAGTCAACATACATAGTGTCAAAGAGAAATAGACACGGTAAGAAAACATTTTTACAAATTTCAAGTAGTCCTTAACAATTCAGGCACTATGCCCATCTACTCACAGGCACGCGGGAGCATCTGCAACAGTCCATAAAGGAGGATATTATGACTTTTCTAGAACAGATGCTAAACACGCACGAAAAAAATACGTAAAAGAAGCATAATTCATACGTACAAGAGGATACTTTTCCAAGTGTACCGAATAACCCTTCCACTTGCTAACTAACCGCTTACGCCTCCCGAATTACAAATGCGAGCACCGTGAAGCTAAACGAAATCAAGACAGATACAACGCTCATCAAGTTCACCACTACAAGATTCTCTCAGCTTAGAGGTACGCCAAGAATTACGAACTATTAAAGAGGCCGAAACAAAAGGAACCAAGTTATACCATATATATCTCACTATAGAAAGTAAGATACGGTTCACTAAAGCCTACCTCTAAAAACTTGCCAAAATCGCCACGTAAGAAGAATTTTTTAATACTATTAGCATCACGGAGATTAATACGCAGCTACGCAACAATGCTAACTCAAATACTAGAGATTAGTAGCCGCAAACTGACTATACTGGGTGTGGTGCGTTTGTTTTGTATGCCTGTCAGGTAACTCTCTCCCCAGCAAAAATTAACCCCGGTTAGATGAAATACATCTTCGCCCTTGTAGGTACGTCGCCCCCCTTGTCGGTACCAGCCTGGCATACAAGACTTACCCATCACACTCAGTAGTCTATCTGAGCATCGACTTCTTACGGAGCTGGTTTGCGTAGAAAAAAAGGCCATAATGCACAAAGTACCGGCTTTGTAACGTGCTATTTAGTGGATTAAATTAGGTGGTTTTCATTATATATTAGAGTATGACACAACTTTAAGTTCAATAGCTTAAGCTCGTTCTTCCCATGTTCGGCTACATATAGGAATAGTACTATAATAGTTATGAGCGGCAGTTGTTATTAAGGTAGTGTGCTTTAATTATCACGAAGTTGTCGGGCCGAAACATAGCAAGCTGTAGGATAATAATAGAGAGGCGGAGCATTGCTCACTCAAGTGTTGCTTGGTCGTGCTAGGAATTCAAGGTATAGTGACGACAGTAACTAGAACGGAGTTGCCGTAATTTGCAGTTCAAGTGGCGGGGTTAAGTGAAACAAAGTTCAGCAAGATTGTAGACACAGGACTGATGCTTAGCATGCGAGAGCTTGCTAGGCTGGCATATCACCGGATCTAGCATATCCCGGGAAATTCTGGAAAAGAATAAACGAAAGCTCATACTGCTAATGAAATTGCCTAATAATACGCTCACGCTCTATAGTCTGAAGTTCTCGCGTACTAGCTTAACAAAGCGGACTGTTATCAGCGAGTACTGTCAATCTATACTCGAATTCAACAGCGGAGGAATACCAAAAACACGCAAAAGATTAGTACTATAATTTTGACAGCCTAGCAGAGGAAGATTACCTTCTTTTAACCTACTCTATCAGGGTCTAATTAAAAATCCACCATGTGTACTAACGGGTCGTTTGGTTGATTAGGCCGTTGTAGTGAAGAGCACCTTATCACGGAGGTGGTGGGGGTGCCAGGATGTGGTGGGGGTGCTAAGTCGAGAATGGAGATGGTCCATTCGTTATAGCCGCAACCCACTCGGAATTTGGCGCCCCTCAACTCCAGACAGACCTCGACCGCAAGCCCTCGTGGATCTGGACCGACGGACCGGACGGGCCGATCTAGGTAGCCTAGAAGCCTTTACAGGGCAGTCTTTCCATTTCTGATTCATCTGCGACCATGGCTATCATGACTCGTGCCTTGCCTAGATGTGGCACCTCGTATAACCATACTCTTATATGACCTATATAGCATGTTTAAGTTATAAGTACCTGCTCAAGGTGGTCTAAAAGTGAGCTCTCACACAATTTCGGGTGATTATGTCCCGACGACTAAACCCACTCTCTATTTCTTCGCAAGCTAATTATAGATGGCTACAGGGAAACCCGCCAAAACATGGACTTGAAAAATGTGGAAATACGAAGGTGCAATTTTTATGTCTGGCCTGACTTGCTCGTGTATCAGTACACGTGCACGATTCGCTAGCATCGCAAAGCTAATGAAGAATCTACCTATATAACTACAGGAAACGCCCAAGCCATCATAGTAGTAAGTCTTCCAGATCCATCACAAGCATTTTCTGAATCCTACTAAATCTACTTTCTCCAAAACCAACAAAGCCGCAAGCTTCTAAAAATGAAAGTCTCAACTATTCTCGCTTTCTCTCTCTTTAATCTCTTTACCGCAGCAGCAGAGATCCACAGTACACCTATCGAGCAAACTCTCCAAGATCTTGAGCGAGGCGCAAAGACATGGGATCTCATTGCACAAGCCGGTTTTTCTGCTCAAGACGTTGCAAAGGACGCAAAGTCTGTGGTTAACCACGCTATTGGCCAAATTCGTGCAGCTGTAGAAGAATCAGCAGAAGCTGTGTACTTCGCAAACAGTTTTTTGGAGATGGATGAACAATCCCTTAAACATGCAAAGACTAATCTCGGCTGGGCCTCAGAGGCAAGTGATTTCTTCGCAGTTATTAGCGGCATCCTTTTGCTAACAATACGGGGGTCTATAGATTCTCAATCCTGACGAGCACAAGTGGTAACTTTTGCACGACAAGGCAGTCAACAACGATGACCAATTTTATAGACGAAAAACAAAGGGGTCGGGCAGCGTTGTGGGGCATGTTCAAGGTTGGGGGGCCTCAAAAACCGGGCTCGAAAGTTGATGTAGTGTTAAAATAAACGTTTTATTGAAATGAGCGTTCACTGAACTCGCTAAAACAAATGTTACTGGCGCTTATTAGACATGAAGAAGCTATTGGAGGTTCTATCTCGGGCTCCTAGTGGCTACTCGGATTCCGTGGAGCCCCACGACGAAGCTCTCTACAGAGCCATAGACAAAAAGCAGGTCAGAGAGAGGTTTGCGCCATTCTTACGCGTAAACTCATTTACGTGTTGCCATTTTACGCGTAGTAAATATTCTAGCTTTATAGAGATGGTAAGCAACCGGTAATTACGGAGTTGAGTTAAAACTTTCCGCAAAGTATTAACATTTCCGCAAAATCAGTTTCATGTTAGACAGCTAGCTAGAGCTGAATTAGGATTCTGGTACTATACATGTTGATGTGCTTCCGAACCATGTCATCTGGCAACTTTGCCTGCCCGAAATAACCAAAGCAGAACGACTCCAGTATAAATCCTCTCTCATGTCTACAACCCAGCCATTAACATCTACATCATGGCTACTAAAGTGGTCCTTGTTGTCGGCGCCTCTGTCAAGATGGGTGTTTCAGCAATTCTTGGAGCCTTGAAAACAGGTCGCAAGGTACTGGTTGTCGTCCGCAGCGCATCTGCTATGGAGAGGACTTGACAGCAATTCGGTACTTCAGAGGGTTTCCATATGCAGACCCGACGCGAGAGAATGATTTGCTAAATTTTGTAGCAAAAAGTGAAACACGGGTAATTACCCTCTTTTCAGCATGTATTCACCTCAGGTATGTCCGTCCGTACACTGCTTGTTGTTCAACGCCACCACTATCGTACCGCGCCATCTAGTCGAAAAAAGTAGAGCTGCATTCACCAATCTATACTGTCAGTACGAGAGTATTTGACGGTATTTTCACAGTCAACTTTAGCAATAACAACCGTGCTTCAATATTCTGTTGCGTGTTCTCCCGGTAGCTGATGGGGCTTTGTTGGCACAAGGCCAGGCGCGCCGCTTGTACTTTGCATGCGAGCCATGACGCAGGACAAGAATGGTACAGCTTTTCGAAACGTAGCGCAACTAGTGTGTTGAAAGGGTCGCAGGCTCGCGGAGTTAGCGAGGGTATCTTTCTCAAGTTTCACCGCCCTTGGTGTGATGACGGGGACTTTTGGCAGCCTTGCCACGGGGCACCGTTACGGGCGCGGCACCATGGCCGCAAAAGGTGTATCCTCTTTGACAAGCCCAGTCAGGGTTGTTTGATGTCAATCTACAAGGGCTCTAGGCCAATCCCAAATTCAATGTGCTATCTACCTTGCAGACGCTGCGTCCGCGCCATACCTCTTGCCTGACACACAATGCAGAAGGTGAAATGGACAGGGGAGATGACAGCACGGTATTTAGAACACAAACGATATATCATGGTCTTTAAAAAACTTACTTTGAGCCAAGAATTGAGCGTCAAATCACCTTGGGGTCTAGAATTCGCCACAAAGTCCACACCGGAAGCACCCGAGCGTTGTTGGTTGGCTGATCCGTGAGGCTGGCTGGAGATGCATGTCTAAAACATGCTGTACGTCTAAAACGCCCTACGGATACATGTCCAAAATATGTTCCGTAACATGACAGAATTTCAACAACTGCGTGGCGTTATGACTACCCAAGTACGATTTGGGCTGGCCTGATTATCAATTGTTTACTTCGTAGGAGCTGTTTTATTGACATGCTTGTGCGTACAGACTACCTGAAAATATAGCCAGCATTCACCTAGCATCTTGGCCCAACCGACCACGTCCTCTATGTGATAACCCGCCTCTAGTCGGCTATTGACGAGAGAATTTGCCATGATTGTACCATGCGCTTACGAAGTCGCAGTTTTGGCCGTGACATGCGCCGAGTACTACTCACCGTAGACAACACCTATCCGTACAAGCTGCATGACGCTGGCAACAACCATGGCCACCAATAATCCCGCCGTAGCTACCAGCACTCCTTGAATTCTCTTTTTTCTGCTTCGCCCCCTTGTCTCTGATAACAGTGAACCCCTCGTGCCCAAACCGGACCCTCGCATACAAAGTTGCCCAAATCCAAACGATGGGAGCCATCGGCTGAAATGAGACATGCAGCCCTCCTTTTCTGGTTCGTGCTGCAGTCCATCTTCCGCCGACATGCAAGCACGTAGTAATGCTTTGTGACCATGTCCACCATGGCATGGACATTGGAGAGACGAAATCTGGAATACGACTCAACTGTGCCCAGGGCACATATACGCTTGTTCGGCCCGCCAGGCTGCGCAGAATCGCGAAACTCTTGGTGAAAAAAACTCACACGTCCTCAAGGCCGGTGACATGCCCGATGTTAGGCAACGTAGATACCCCTGCGACGCAGATACGGGTATTGTCACCCCTCTGTCTTGAGAAGGGGGGGGGGGGCAAGCTGCTAGTGTAGCGTGTGATACCCCTAGTGTAAGTAATTAAATAAATAAATAAATAAAAAGGGAAAAAAGAAGAACAAGAAGAAAAGCCTTGCTGCACCGCTGCTAGGCAGCCGATTGTAAGTTACTGGTAGAAAGAGGGCTGACCTGTGAAGAGATGTGGTCATGAGTTTTCGCCTATGCACGCAAAACCAGTCCTTGACCGTTACAAAGAAGTATAGAGGGCCAATCAAATTTCCGCTTGATAAACAGCAGACGAGCGCAAGACATAGAACAAGCGGGCCAAAAATGATGGTTGGTCTGACAACGGTTGGCCAGCAACCAATCATTGATAACCTCGCAACCTCATCAAGAATAGGACAAGCGAGTAGACGCAAGTCTCCTGGCTATGTAGCTGTCACGGCACAGGCCTTACCACGTGCTAGATAACTGCTATATAAGAGCGGCTGAGGAGCTCTTGCTCCTCAGTGAACAATAAAAGTCATACCATTCTGCCATCTCACAGCGGGCCATCCACCATCTCTCTCTTCACTTCCCTTTAGTTAGCCACTACCCATTACCCATCACTGACAATAGTCTGGTATTCTCGCCAACATGCAAAAGTTGCTCTACATTCTTCTCTTCGGCGGCTGCGCTGTCTGCCAGCAGTCCAATAAGTCCTTCGTTCCTCCAACACAGGATCAGAATCCCATGAACAGCATGACATCCTCGATGGAAATTCAAGTTTGTCATCAAATCGCTCGAGATACTTCTGGCGAGGTGTAGAATCCCTCTGACAAAACCGGCCATTTCTTTGGCAATAGTCAGCATGCGTTTAACTCTTCGAATGAGCGCTCGCTGTGTGTTGTCGAGGTGTCAAGCACCGAAGATGTATCAAAAACCATCAGAATCATAGGTAGCAGCCGGACACCTTTTGCCATTCAATCTGGCGGCCATACATCCAATCCGGGGTTTTCAGGCACCAAAGGAATCCACATATCCCTTGCAAGACTCACTCAGATACATCTCTCCCAAGACAAAAGCAGTGTTAAAGTTGGCCTGGGAAATGTACGTCACCCTTCTATGCATATCACGAACTTGCTACATCACCAACTCAAAGAGATACTTACAACAAACAGACCTGGGTCGATGTGTATGTTGCTCTGAATGGCACAGGTGTCAACGCAGTAGGAGGCAGGGTGGCAGGACCTGGCGTTGGAGGAGTGACGCTTGGGGGTGGGGGATTCTCCTGGCTCACAAATCAATACGGCCTAGGCTGTGATACTGTCATTTCTTACAAACTCGTTCTTCCAAATGGAACAGCCATCACCGTTGACTCGACAACGCCTGACCTCTTCTTCGCTCTCAAAGGCGGCCTCAACCGGTTCGGGATTGTCACCAGTATCATTTTCAAAACATTTCCTCAGCCCTATATAGTATATGCAGGCCATCAGGTTTTCGACGCCTCAGAAATACCAGCATTAACTAGGGCGATTCAACACTTTCACGAGAACTCTGCTGACCCAAAATCATCGGCCATTCTCACATTATATGGAGGAACCGATAACCAGCCCGTTTTATTGTTATTTCACGACGGCGCGGGCCGTCCTGCCGCCTTTGACTCTTTCAATAACTTTACTGCTTTGGTGAGCACCGTCAAGGACCAGTCATTTGCATCGTTTACTGGTTCTTTTTCATCAATTTCAAACGCAAACGACAAGCGCGGTGCCTATCACACTATGAGCACGTCTGGATTTACGCAGAAATTTTTAGCCGCTATTGCCAACGAGTCATTTCACTATGGCCAGATTGCTCAAGAGCACGCAGCAAGTGTTTCCTACCATATTGAGCCTTTTATGAAGTATGGCAAATATGCCACCGACTCCGCTTTCGCTCACGATAACTCGCCATTGCCACTCAATTTATTGTTCTTATGGGATAAAGAAGCCGATGATGCGTTTTGGAGAGCTATAATGCAGCAGTCTATCGACCACCTTACGAAAGTAGCTACCGCGGAAGGAATCTCTGACTCGGAGATGCTTGCTTACCCTAATTTTGCGCAGCATACTTATGCTGGTGCACAGATTTATGGCTTGAAAAATACGGCTCGTCTGCGAGACATTCAGCTTCGGTATGATCCAGCCGGGGTCATGTTTTTGGCAGGTGGATTTTCAATTTAGATTCGGCCAGACGGCTAGACCGATCGATATGTACTTTGGCTATAGCGTTTCTTAAGTAATGAATTATATTTCCTCTCTTATACTACTATGAAACTATAATATTCTACCGCACGAAAGTCGTGTTTCCAGTGTTCTCGAAGCAATCAGGCCAGAAATAAAACATGATCGTTTCAGGGCCTATAAGAGGAAAAGACGCCAATTCTAGACATGTAGGAATAATTTATTTGGTAAGTTAAATCGACTTTTTAGTCACCGAACGTAATAAACTAAAATGCATCGACAATGGACCTAACAGTGCACTTCACAAGCACCTCGTCAAGTAGCCCTAAACGAACGCAGCCTGTCCATGCCGGAATGATTGACTACCTGACAGTGAACGGAATCCTTCGAAGCTTGGTAAATGGCATATAGAAATGGGGCAGTTTTTCTGGGCGTGTTATTTCGGTCAAATTGCTAAATTTTGAAGTGAGTACTGATCCACACTTGACAGGCAAGACTTATTATTTGTCTAGTGAAATAGATTCGTCATCATCAAGACAAACGCAGCCGAGTCGGTTTAAAACATCCGCTCGGCATCACGGCACACGAACCACTAATTGGGTCTAGAGATGCAAAGATCGGCGGTCGGCGATGTAATTATTAATACAAAGCGTGTTCGGCATAAGGTCGACCGACAGTCACTATTATCCACTGACACGTGCCTATGCTCGGTGAGTCATTGCGGTGATGGGCCGATATTCGTCTACGGATAAAAGAATAAAAATAAATATACGGATCACGATACCACGCGGGTTAATTGACCCGGCATCTTACAGCCTATGCTTTTCACTATCTATGGAATAGGGTCATTTGCGAGCTACCGTGTTCGTCTTGACGTTCTATTGACAACCATCGAGCGCCCGGAGGTACTTTTCCTATCCTTTGACACGGCTTGCTTTCTGAATTGGGCCATCACCTACCACAACGTACTATTCAGTTCTACAAAACTCGACTCGACGTGGCACAGATGGCCATGGCTACCGACGATGATTCCTTTAGAACCGAGCTCCGCAACACAAAAGTGCTCGAGGGGCCGTTCCCGGACCTAGACTTTGACCAGTTTCCCGAGAATCCCCACGATTCCTTCAAGCTGTGGTTCCGCGAGGCCGTCGCAGCTGGTGTCAGAGAGCCGCATGCAATGACCGTTTCTACGGTTGATGATCAAGGCCACCCAGACGCCCGAATTCTCATACTGAAAAACGTCGACGCTCGTGGCTGGCAATTCGCTGTGAAATCCGACAGCCCCAAGGGCAAGCAATTGGCAAGTACTGGGCACGCGGCGTTGACCTTTTACTGGCCTCAACTTGCCCGACAAGTTCGTCTGCGGGGAAGGGCCGTCGAACTGTCCAAAGAGGAGAGTGCGCTCGACTATGAAGCTCGGCCTACAGAATCACGAATTAGCGCAGTAGCGTCTAATCAAAGTGAGCTTCTTTCAGACCGTGATGCGCTGACCCGGAATCTTGCCGAGACCAGGTTGAAGATGGCGGAAGATGCCATGTCTGGCGTGGAAAAGTGGCGAGTCTTTACTGTTGCAGCCGACAAGGTCGAGTTCTGGCAGGGAGAGGCGAGCCGCCTTCACCACCGGCTCGAGTATGTGTATAATAAAGACGAAGATGAATGGCATAAGCACTTGCTCTGGCCATGAAGAACAAGATACGTTTATTTGGCGTATCATGGTTGTTTGAATACCTGATAGCTACTTGATGTTAGTTCAGAGAAAATGCAAGTTGGAACTCTTAGAATAATTATAGTCCAGATGCTTACTTTAATCTCCCGTCAGGGTTTGATGATCAGAAGTCGTCAGTCACCAGTACCTTTAAAACAAGAGCATATAATTTTTTTCTAAATCAGGCAGTTAAGTCGGGTATTGAACAGTTCGAGTGAAACATCTATATTCATTGTCAAGTAATATTAGAATCTTATCGAATATCGTAATGATGAATAGTCTTACACTCCAGGAGCGGGCCGCTAAAAAAGCGACCTATAGTTGGGATTTTACACGGAAGTAGAATACAGCTCTACTTGCGATATAGTAGTAGAAACGAATAGCCTAAAAAGAGTGTCAAAGTATTGAGGATCATTTTACGAATTGCGGGCTGTCACTCGCTGCCAGTCGGAGCACCTGGCGGATGATGTTGATGGATCCCCTGTTGCGCTCACCGCTGACGCTAGTCATGACATGGGGTAAGTGACTCACTGAGGTATGAAATAAATAAAAGTCTGGGTTTAATTCGAGTTGCCTCTGGGCTACTCACCCGTCCTGCATTCTACTACATTGCAGTAGAGCTCAGTTAACCCCCAAGCCATGGCCCAACCCTCCATGTTCCCGGCTGAGCAATGGCTGTCCCGCTGGCGGGGGACACCTGGGCTGCTCAACCTCGCCGACACCTATGCGTGCCCCATTTCCATTGACGACTTGACCAGTCTATCCACTGAAGACGATGGGGGCCCGTTGACGACCAGCTCGAAGCTCGGCTACGGGAGCACAAACGGTTCATCCGAATTGAGACAGAGCGTGGCCCAGCTCGCCAGTGGGCCAGAGACTAAACTTAGCGAAGACGATGTCATCATCACACAAGGAGCCATCTCAGCCAACTTTCTGGTACTCTACGCGTTGCTGGGGCCGACGGACCACGCCATCTGCGTCTATCCAGTCTACACGCAGCTCTACGCCGTTCCTGAGACCTTTGGGGCCCAGGTGTCCTTTTGGCGGCTCAAGGAGGAGGATGGTTACATGCCCAATGTGCAAGACTTGCACACTCTCTTTCAACGCAACACAAAGGTACGCAGGCGTGTGCGTGTGCATGGCAGACGCCCGATGACAGAGTATCTAGTCACTTGCAAAAGAGGCCGCCCAGGCTGATGACGCACGCAGATGATCATCCTCAATAACCCCAACAACCCAACCGGCGCCGTGATCCCAGAGCCGGTGCTACGCTCCATCATCGAGATTGCGCGAGCGCGGAACATCATCGTCTTTAGCGACGAAGTCTACCGCCCACTCTTTCACGAGCCGGAGAATGCGCCGCCGCCCATCACGGCGTTTGGCTATGCGCGGACGCTCTCGACCGGCAGCATGTCAAAGTCGCTGTCGCTGCCAGGCATCCGGATCGGGTGGGTAGCCTCGCCAGACCGGTCCCTCATCGCGGCGTGCGCGGCACGGCGCGACCTGACCACCATTTCCGTCTCGCAGGTCGACGACCAGATTGCAACGTACGCGCTATCAGAGGCGGTACGGCCAGCGCTACTACAGCGCAACGTAGCGCTAGCGCGGCGTAACCGCGCGCTGGTTGAGGCGTTTGCGGCGCGCCACGCCGACCGCTGCCGGTGGGTGCGGCCGGGCGGTGGGACAATGGCGTTTCTGCAGTTTCGCGAGCCGACGACCGGCCGCCCGGTCGACGACGAGGCGCTGTGCGCAGAGGTTGCCGACAAGAGCGGGGTGCTGCTGGTGCCCGGGTCGTGCGGCTTCGGGGGCGGCGAGGACTGGAAGGGCTTCGTGCGGCTGGCGTACGTGTGCGACACAGCGGTGTTGGAAGAGGCGCTGGCGAGGCTGAGCGGATATCTAGAGGAGCATCTTCGGGACTAATTGGACGATGGGCGGTTGTACATGATACAATTGACCACCAGAGGGTCGGGATTGATGGATTGAAACGAGTACCGTCTCGTTGACGATGTTGCAGGTGGCAAGCCGAAGCAGGGCGCATTGCGTGGACACGGCAATGACGGCAGGAACTAGGAGGGAGCCAAAGCCACAGCCACAGCCACAGCCCCGCATAGCGTGTCCGCTGCTGGATGAAGGCGGGCCAGCACTGACTGCACTACGCAGTTTATAAACATGAGAAAAGAATACGAATTTTTCAGATAAAAGAACAAGGAAACCCCTAAAAAAAAAACCCCTAAAAAACTTGAATCTTGAAAAATGTGCAAGCCTTGCTCAAATAAAGTCCAAGTTTGAAACTGAGAGTGTTGCCGGCTACTGACCCAAATTTGCGATTGAGCCATGCGCGACGTTGCCACGTCTTATTTAGCGTCGTTCGATATTTAGCGGCGCCATCGAACGAGGTCGAAAATGCCCATCAGTCAGGTGGCTCTGTGAAAAAATGAGTACTCGAGTGCGGCTGACATCCGCTTGCTGCGGCCGGGAATAACTATTCCTATTCAATGGTATCACAGCACAGCAACACAGGCCCTGGTTGTTCTGCCGCCGTGTCTCAGAGCTTGTGGGAGGCTCGAATCTGTCTGGCACATTGCTAAGTCTTGGCTGCGGCCCCCACCTAATATAGAGTCATGGAGAGATCTGACTGTTCTGGTCGACAATAGTTTACAGCAAAGCCATATTTCCAGGCCTTTGGCCGAGGAAAAAAAAATCCGATTTGCACTCGATGAGAATAGTAGCAACGAGCATGCGTTGCGCCGATATCAAACATGCCCTAAATGAAGCCCATGGCCCAGGGTGTGTCACGCACCAGGTACCTAAGTACCTATAACACACCGCGCGTTTTCCCCGGATGAACGGCAGCCCTTGCAAGCTTGATCATCTCTTGGCAGACTGGATACGCCGAGAAAATGCACCGATGGAGCAGATGGTCTCGGCGTACTCAATAATTCCACGGCATAACTTGTTATCCATGCTGATATACATAGTTAGACTCCGTGCCTGAATTTCTAAAAGTCACGAGTAACGAGCTCAAGGCTAACTAACCATCGAGCATGCACGTAACTTTGGTTAGCTTGCCGGCTGCAGGCCATATCTGCAGGGGCAAATACGATGACGCACGCTCTCCCCTTGTGTGGCTTTCAAACTTTGCAAAATCTCAAGCCGGCTTTCGGGGCAACTCCCGAAGCGGCCACGAAAATGTCCAATGAGTCTTGCGTTGTTTATTTGGCCTTTCTTTACTTGGCTCTGCGAAAAGTTGGCCGCGAAAACAGACGCCCTCTGAGTTTTGCACATCGGCAGAGCCGAAAGGTTGATTGGAAGGCTAGGTCCATTGGTTCCCTAACTAGGTGTCCTAGCGGCATGTAACTACTCCGTACCTAGTTATTTAGTCAATATCTTCATTGGTGCATGGCTTTGCCCGAAACTAGTTCTCATACAGGCCTAGTCGCACCCACGCTTCAATACAAGTATCGTAATGCGTCGGCTTCGCCCAGTCTGCCTTGCTCTCTTTCGTTTCTTCATCTGACACGACTCGCTCTTTAGATCTGCTTATCACCGATCAAAGCTCCAGTGGGCATTCTTGAGACATATACATCTTTGCTATCGTCTCATCCTCTGCAGTGCACCATCTTGACAATACCCATTTGCTTTCTCCCTCATTAGCCCCGTTGCCGCCGTTTGCCGTTGTCGCCGTTTGCCGTTGCCGCCCACGATACCCGCCATCGACTCCAACGGTAACCAGCATTCCCACGGAACTCTTACTCCATTCGCAGCAAGCAACGCCATTAATTCGCCATGAAGGCCGCCGCCTCGACCCTGACGGCCTTGCTGTCCGCGTCCGCCACCGCGCAGTACGTGCTCATGGACTTTGAGAAGAAGCCGCACAGCAACCTGCAGCGCCGTGCCTCGAGCGTCGAGTCCGACATCTCCAACCTTGTACAGGACGGAGGCTACTTCATCGATGTCACTATCGGAACACCCGGCCAAAAATTCTCGCTCCAGCTCGACACGGGTAGCAGTGATGTCTGGGTGCCCTCTAGCGGATCCTCGGCCTGCCAGGCCAAGAGCGACAAAATCACCAGACCCGGACAGAGCAACGGCTGCTCCAAAGGCTCCTGTAAGCGATACACACATCTAATGTGGCGCTGCCCTTCGCTCCTGCTAACCTGATCGCCTCGCAGTCACCTCAAGCAAGTCGAGCACCTTTACGACCTTGGGCGAGGACTCGTTTCAGATTCAATACGTCGACGAGAGCAGCGCAAAGGGCTCGTACTTTGTTGACGCCTTCCAAGTCGGCGGTAGCACCATTCAGAATCTGACCATGGGTCTCGCCGAGGAGACCGACATTCCCTTTGGCCTTGTAGGTCTCGGCTACAAGGGTAACGAGGCCTCTCTCCAGACGGTGCGCAAGACGTACCCCAACCTACCTATTGCCATGCAGACCTCAGGCAACATCAAGACGATCGCTTACAGCCTCTGGCTCAACGACCTCGACGCCAGCAAGGGTAACCTACTCTTTGGCGCTATCGATACGGAAAAGTATCATGGTGACCTGGCCCGCCTCGACCTTCTCTCCAACGGAAACCAGGTCGTCGAGTTCAGCGTCGCCCTTACCTCGGTCGCCGGCTACAGCTCGACGGGCTCCGACTCCTTCTCCTCGTCCAGCTTCCCCATCACCGCCCTCCTCGACTCCGGCACCACCCTCTCCTACCTCCCCACCGACATTGCCCAGCAGATCTGGGAGGAAGTCGGCGCCGCCTATGTCTCGAGCATCAAACTCGCCGTCGTCCCCTGTGCCTACGCCACCAGCAAAGCCTACTTTTCGTTTGGCTTTGGCGGCAGCGACGGCCCGCGCATCAATGTCACCATGGACGAGCTCGTCCTCGACCAGGCCGGTGTCACCATGTCCAACGGCAGACACAAGAGCGTCCCTGCCTGCACCTTTGGCATCCAGGCCCAGTCTTCTTCTAGCGACGGCTCTTCAAACACGTACCTGCTTGGCGACACCTTCATGCGCTCCGCCTACGTCGTGTATGATCTCGAGAACAACCAAGTCGCCATTGCCCCGACAAAATTCAACGCGTCCGCATCCAACGTCGTTCCCTTTGGCTCTAAAAGCGCTACCATTCCCTCCTCGACCCCTGTTCCGGGTGCCAACACGACCCAGAGTGGCAGCAGTGGAACGTCCAGCGCGCCCGACTACGAGGCTAGCCCCGGTTTCCAGGAGGAGAACGGGGCGGCCACCATCGGCCTCTCTGCACTGGGTCTTGTAGCCGTCTCCATGTCGACCTTTTTCGCCATCTTTGCCAGTGCCTTTTGATCTCGATTTCACCTTTCTCTGTGTTTCATTACTAGGTTTTGTCCATGATGGTTGTTGGAGCTCCACTTGCTGGCGTTGAGATTTCTGTGAAAAAGTTGATTTATGCATCGCAGAATATAGATTTACATGAACTTGGATAGACATATGAATATAAGTTAACTTGATGAACTCTCCCGTTAAAAAAAAAAAATCTTGTCGATTTCTTTCGGCAACTCGCTCTCTCGTTGACTGATTGTCACTCATAGTGCACTACAGTGCTATCGCGCTAGCACGTGCAGTTCTGATGGTGGCGCCGCCCCTGGCAGAAAAAAAGTTTCCAGGGACCGCGCTGCTGCTCACAACCACGACAGGTCGATTTTGTTGCGGACCGTTGCGCAATATGAGGGTCCTCAACACTGTCAGGTGGCTTAATTGTCGTCTGATCTCGGATCCCGCAAGGTCAACTGCCGGCTTCCGTGATTTTAAGGCCGTTGTGGTGCCCTTTGCTGCCCGGCGGCCATTCAGCCATTCCGGCATCAAGCATGGAGCGGCGCAAGATGCGTGAGTGTGATCTTTTCCCCCCATTGCGTACGATTATCTAGGACAGACGGCTCATGCGACTCAATTGCACAGTCTAAAAAAGGCTCAAGATGATGCCGCCAGTCTTACCCCCGAATACGTCGCCGCCAACATGTCTACCGAGGAGGCTGCTCGTCTCTCCCGCGTACGAAACATTGGTATTGCCGTACGTACCGCACGATCTTGGACTTCCCTGGAATTGGTCTGTCGATTCTAATGCTGTTTTAGGCGCATATTGACTCCGGAAAAACGACCGTCACCGAGCGCGTTCTCTTCTACACTGGCCGAATCAATGCAATCCACGAAGTCCGCGGCAAGGACTCTGTCGGCGCCAAGATGGACTCTATGGATCTCGAGCGAGAAAAGGGTATCACGATTCAGTCTGCTGCGACCTTCTGCGACTGGAAAAAGACGGAAAACGGAAAAGACGAAACCTACCACTTCAACCTGATTGACACCCCCGGCCACATTGACTTTACCATTGAAGTCGAGCGTGCTCTGCGCGTCCTCGACGGCGCCGTCATGATTCTGTGCGCCGTCAGCGGCGTCCAGTCGCAGACCATCACCGTCGACCGCCAGATGAAGCGCTACGACGTCCCGCGCATTTCTTTTGTCAACAAGATGGACCGCATGGGCGCAAACCCCTGGAAGGCCGTCGAGCAGATCAACAGCAAACTCAAGATGCCTGCCGCCGCCATCCAGATCCCCATTGGCGTCGAAGACGAGTTTGCGGGCGTTGTCGACCTGATTGAGCGTCGGGTCCTGTACTTTGAGGCGCCCCGCGGCACCAAGATCCGCGTCGAGGACAAAATCCCCGCCGGCATGCAGGACCTCGTCGAGGAGAAGCGCCAGGTGCTGATTGAGAAGCTCGCCGACGTCGACGACGAAATGGCCGAGATCTTCCTCGATGAGCAGGAGCCGACCGTTGCCCAGATCAAAGCCGCCATCCGCCGCGCCACCATTGCCCGCCGATTCTCGCCCGTCCTCATGGGCTCCGCGCTCGCCGACAAGGCCGTTCAGCCCATGCTCGACGCCGTCTGCGACTACCTGCCCGACCCCGGCCAGGTCGAAAACACGGCGCTCGACAAGCTCCGCGACGAGAAGACGGTCAAGCTCGTGCCGTACAACTCGCTCCCCTTTGTCGGCCTCGCCTTCAAGCTCGAGGAGAACAACTACGGCCAGCTCACCTACATGCGCGTCTACCAGGGCACCCTCACAAAGGGCACTTACCTCTTCAACAGCCGCACCGACAAAAAGGTGCGCATTCCCCGTATTGTGCGCATGCACTCCAACGAGATGGAGGACGTCAACGAGGTCGGCGCCGGCGAGATATGCGCCGTCTTTGGCGTCGACTGCGCCTCGGGCGACACCTTTACTGACGGCGGCCTTCCGTACACCATGAGCTCCATGTTTGTGCCCGACGCTGTCATGTCCCTCTCCATCAAGCCCAAGCGCACCACCGACGCCGACAACTTCTCCAAGGCCATGAACCGCTTCCAGCGTGAGGACCCCACGTTCCGCGTGCACGTCGACGCCGAGAGCGAGGAGACCATCATCTCCGGCATGGGCGAGCTCCACCTCGAAGTCTACGTCGAGCGCCTCAAGCGCGAGTACAAGACCGAGTGCGTGACGGGCCAGCCCCGCGTCGCCTACCGCGAGACCATTGCCCGCCACGCCGACTTTGACTTCCTCTTCAAGCGCCAGTCAGGCGGGCCCGGCGACTACGCGCGCGTCGCCGGCTTCATCGAGCCGCACGACAACCCCAGCGAGAACCTGTACGAGAGCCAGGTCGTCGGCGGCAACATCCCCGACAAGTTCCTGTCCGCCTGCGCCAAGGGCTTCGAGCTCGCCACCGACAAGGGTCCGCTCCTCGGACACCGCGTCATTGGCACCCGCATGGTCATCAACGACGGCGCCACCCACGTTACCGACTCGTCCGACCACGCTTTCGCCCTTGCGACGCAGATGGCGTTCCGCAAGACGTTTCCCGAGGCCGGCGGCCAGGTCCTCGAGCCGCTCATGAAGACGACCATTACCGCGCCCAACGAGTTCCAGGGCGCCATCCTGATGCTCATGAATAAGCGCGGGGCCGTCGTGCACGACACTGACATTGGCACCGAGGACTTTACCCTAATGTGCGACTGCAGCCTCAACGCCATGTTTGGCTTTAGCTCCCAGCTGCGCGCCGCCACGCAGGGTAAAGGCGAGTTCAGCATGGAGTTTAGCCACTACGCGCCCGCGGCGCCGCATCTGCAAAAGGAGCTGATTGCCAAGCACGAGGCGGAGCTCGCGGCGAAGCGGACGAAATAGATGAGGGCGAGATGAAAGAATTGTGTGTCTTGGAAATGGGCCGCTACGATTTAAAGTATAAAAAAAAAAAGAAGAGGCTACTGTACCACTATGGGCGCTGGATTTGTATAAAAGAAGAATTGGCACGACGATTTACAGGAATTAACTCTTCTCTAGTCCAAAAGTTGAATTTGTAATTTATCTAGCAGTATTTTGGAGCAGGAAAACGAGATTTAGAGATATTGTGGCATATAGAACTACAATAGACAAAACATTATACTAACGAATTTCCGCATTGTCAATAGAATGCAATAAAGAAACAGGACGGATTCTGTCTACACAATGTACATTGCTTTTATTTCTCATTCTGCTCTTCATCCAAATCAGCTATAAATCAAACCTCGTTACAGTCTGCGCAGAATATCCTCCACAACCTGCTCCGTCGTCGCGCTGCCGCCCAGGTCCGGGCTCAGCAGCTTGCCCTCTTCCAGGTTGGCGTCGACGGCCGCGTAAATCTTGGCGGCGGCCTCGGGCTCCTCCAGGAACTCGAGCATCAGCGCCGCGCTGCGAATCGTCGCAATCGGGTTCGCGACGCCCCGGCCCATAATGTCCGGGGCGCTGCCGTGGCAGGGCTCGCCAATGGCGAAGCCCTCGCCGACGTTGGCGCTGGGCACCAGGCCGAGCGACCCGACGAGCGCGGCGGCGCCGTCGGAGAGGATGTCGCCGTAGAGGTTGGGCGCGACAATGACGTCGTAGTCTTGCGGCTGCCGAAAGAGCTTGTACACCATGGAGTCGACAATCTGCTCCTCGACCGCAACGGACGCAAACTTGGGGTCCGCGAGCGCCTTTTTGGAGATTTCCCGAAAGAGGCCGTCCGTCTGCGACAGCACATTCGACTTGTGCGTAATCGTCACCGTCGGCTTCTCATGAATGCTGCTTGCGCCAGACTCCCGAATCTTTTGCCTGCGCAGCGCAATCTCCCCCGCCATGCTCGCGATCCGAAACGTGGCCCTTTCCGAGATGCGCTTAATCGCCTCGGCCACGCGGCCCTCGGGCGTTTCCCTCGTCGTCTCCTGCTTCACGTACAGGTCCTCGGTGTTTTCCCGCACAATCACCATGTCAATCGGCTTGGGCGCCGTCAGCACCGTCTTGACGGGCCGCACGTTGGCGTACAGGTCCAGCTTCTTGCGCAGCGCGACAATCGGCGACGAGTACCCCTTGACGGCGTGCGTCGGCGACGAGACGGCGCCAAACAGCGCGCCGTGGCAGTCGTCGGAGCGCAGCGCCTCGACGGTGGCGTCGGGCAGGGCGCTGCCCGTCTTCTCAAACGTCTCGAAGCCGGCGTGGAGGTTGATGAAGTCGAACTTGAGCTTGAGCGCGGCGGGGAGGGCTTCGAGGACGCGTCGGCCGGCGGGGATGACTTCCTTGCCGATGCCGTCGCCGGGGATGAGGCCTGTGAACGCCAATGTTGGCAGTTTATTAGTTTACTTTGTTGGCATTAATGGTGCGTGAAACGAGTTCTCTAAATTAGATGGTATTCAAGTTTTGATGGAATCAAGAAAAAGGTCCGTACCGATTCTGAGAGTGCGGAGAGACATGGCTGCGGTTCAATTGACCAAATGTAAGACTGATTGAGCAAAGGGAAAAGAGTCAGGTCCCGCCACGAAAATGTCACCATGGTTTCCTTTTCCTCAGCTGCCGACCTCGGATCCGGCTGTGGAGCAGGACCCTGTCGCAATAATTAGGTAAGCTTCAACTCAACGGCCAGAGCTGTGTGAAAACATGAAGTACTCCTTACCCATTTCAATGGCATCCATTCGAAAAGACTCCGAGATTTAATGAGTTTCGGCTAAGCGCATCTTGTGCCTTGTTGGTGTCAGCGTTGTACAAAGCTTCGACCTCTACCACTGTTTCGCGGCGAGACACCTAGGCATGAGGCCAAACTTGCTTTGCTAGTTGCACGATTCAACAAACATTCGCCCTTGCTTGTCCGTCTACTCCCGGCCAATATGGATCTTTAAATCCAGTGCAAAAACCCCCTCACGGTGATCTGTAATTGGTGATGCCGGTACCGGTGCCGACTTGGCAAGATCGGGAGAGGTACTTCGTGCTAATAATCGCTCCTCATGCGAGTTCCCCAACCTCACCTCAAATAACTCCAAAATGGCCTTTTGGTGCTAATACAGGAAATAACATGGCTGATGCCGTATTTGGCATCACAAAAAACGGGCTATTGCAGCGCTATGCCGCCAAAGGGCTGCACGGCTATCATGCCCGCTGCTTTGGGGTTGGGACTCGTGCCATACTATTTGACCCAAGTGTACTTTCCCATGCGTTGATTCATTGTCTTTCCTTTTTCGCGCGGCGCATTCTACACCGCATAGCTACCCAAAGCATACAACAAGGTTTTCAACGCAATTGTGAAGATTATGCCTACCCTACGACATGTGACTTCAGCCGCAACAGCTGTCTGCAGGCACAGCCTCATTGGGCGTCATTGGAGGCATCAGAGCCCTTCACTCTTTGCCTCCGCAATTCCCAAAAATCTCCAAACTCGCTGACTGTCGTCTTGAAGGTCTGTAGCAGATTGCCTGCTTTGTGGAAATGGCAGACCCTCTTTCCGTGGCAGGCTTGGCCTTTGCCGTAGTATCTCTGGGTTTGCAAGTCACTGCAGGCATCACGGATTACTTCGATGCCCTCAATTCCCGCGACCAGGATATTGCGTCTGCACGGCAGCAAAACGACACATTACGGAAGACACTCCGAGTTATCGAGTCGTCAAGCTCTCGGCTCCAGAATGACCACAGAGCCGAAACAGCGGCCTTGCGTGAATGCCTCGATTCGTGCAAGCAGGAATTGCAGGCTCTGGAGAGCACCGTGACCGAACTCATCTCCTGCGACCAAGCTACAACTTGTCGAAAAGACAAGATTCGAAACCAGGGGAAAAGGCTCTTGTATCCGTTCAATCGCCCAAAGCTCGAACAAATTACGACAAGATTACATAACATCAATTCGAATCTTCAGTTGGCGTTGCAGAATCTGGGACTGTAAGCACACCTACCCATCTATATTTCACGATGTTTCGTTGTGCTAAAGTTCTTGTCAGTGCTGTATCACAGCTGGGGACCGAGAGATTAGCCACTCTCGAGGCGACTTCTCATACTATTTCTACCGATCTTCTAAACGTCCAGTCTGAAATCTTGGCCATGACGACTCCCCTCCAAAGCATGCATAGCAATCTATCTCGATTTGAAACACGCTTTGACGGCCTCGAAAATTTAGTCCAGCAGCTGCTTATTGGGAATTCAACCACCAACGGAACCCAATCAGAAGTAAGCACTCCAGTGAACCAAATTCGTTCTGTATTAAAACTTACCGTAAGCTACAGGCCACTCCTTTGATGGTCACCGGCCGACTCCTTAGCAAACCGGGATTGTTGCAAGAGACGTGCGACGCTGCCGGAGCTCAGGCGTGGCAGAGATCAGATGCGACACCACCGGTAATGCGTCGCCGCACGTCACAATTCAGCAAGACGGTCTCAATTTATACTGGAGGCCGCTTCTCGTGCTTCTGTCGTTGTAGCCAACCAATTCAACGTAAGAGTGTTGTCTGGAGCTCCTTTAGCCTCTCCCTTGAGACGGCCATCGAGCAGCATCTGCCGGGGTGCCCAGCCACTCAAGCGATACCGGTCACAGATCGAAGGCAGAAAATCAGTTTAACATATGTTGGATTCCAATCTCTGCTTAACTTGGCCATCCAGCTTTCATTCATGGTTCGGTCGGGGGCAGGTGGTTGGAGCCTCGGCTCTAATTTCACCTACTATCCTCTCGTCGACTCTAAATCTGCACCAGCCTTCAGAATGCTCTTCATATTGAAAACTTCTCTCCTCTTTGGGAAACATGATATTACAGACGACGACGGTCTCCTGGGCAGTGTAACATGGCAGGAAAGAATGATTTCGTCAGTGGTGTCCGCAATATCGAGATTGTTTCGAACCAAAAAGGCGTCACCACGAGCAGTCGACGCCAAGAATAGGTCTCTGGTCTACGGCTTGGCTGAATGTGTGAGTACTTATATGATTCCACTTAAGCGTACCAACAGCTGATCGACCAGTTCAGGTATCTTTGATCGTGGATAGATCTGTCCCGCTGTTGCGCCAGGATGAATCCAGCCCTCTGCTTGATCTTCTCCGATATTTACTAATCAACAAGGCTCCAGCAAGCGATTATGATATATACGGCGAGTAGGTCCTCGGTGTCAATTTAGAAGACAATGGCTTTCTGTCTGCTGACCTGGCTATCATGCAGGACGCCGCTTAGTATAATGCTCACGCCATCTACATATGGTATTACCAGCGATCCATTACTTGCTGCTGCGGCAGAACTCCTCCTGCGATCAAATACCGAGAATAAAGTAGCTTGTCTGTCACGTCCAGAGCTGCTAGCATATACAAGGGTTCGTAACCGATCAGGACAAAGCGTTCTTGAACGAAGCCATGCGGTTATACTCTCCTTCCTGGCTGGTTCGGCTAAACTAGCCGAAGGTTCGTATTAGGCACATCCTGAAGAATGAAGAGTGTCCTACTAAACGATTTTCTACGGGTCTAGCCTACGGCTGTGGTCCTTTAAGCTTAGCAATCCTATCTAACAACCTGGAAAAAGTCGAACTCCTTCTGAGGAAGCATCCTACCACCCTCTCCGAGCGAAACCTTTTTGGGCATACTCCGCTGCACCTCGCTGCAGACAAGCTATTATTCTTGAGACTCCTGGTCAAAGTCGCAGATGCAAGACTCCTCAATCAGGCAGATGGACGAGATGGATTAGGCCTGTCTGTAGTAGAGACGGCCGTCTCTCTCAGCAAGCTGCACTGTAGAGAAGACAGCGGCATGTGTAAAAATTGCAGTTGTGACGAATGTGCGGTCACTCTTTTGGAAGCAGATTGCGCGCTTCCTGTGTCGCAAAACCTACAGGACGTGCTTGCTAGTGCCTCTGAACGGTGCAAACTGACATATGCACGTCATATGAAAGACCGAAGAGACAGACTGAAGCAGCTTGCCCTGGAAAATCTTTCTATAGAGGAAGTAGAGCGATTAGGTCTGGCTTCTGAAAGTCTTCTCGATTCTCATGCGTCGGAAGTCACCCAACTCTTGCAAGGCGGTGGCATTGCCGTTCCTGCAGCCCTTGCTGTCGTGAGTAGCGAGTCGTTACCAGTCTACCACGCACTTTACTCGCCCAAGGATGCCGAAATCTTCTTCAACGTCGGTTTTCGCGACACGGATGCGTGGTCCACTCGTGGCATGGCGGAAATTGCACTTCTTTGCTGTAGCCCTAGCATGGGCCTCGGATATCTGCATTGGCTGAGTAAACATGGCGGCATCTCCTGCCAGCCCTCGGTTGCATCAACTAAGGATGTTTTTGCAGCCCATCTGATATTTTTAATGATTGGTTTTGCATTCTCTGGTTGCGACTCAGCGGTCTTCAGGCCTGGAGGTTCCTTGCAATTTGACCAAATCGAGCACACTATGAATAGCGAATCGCCACCATTACCTCCGGTCGACGACCGCATAGCTTCGATCCGCGAACTCCATACTACAATACTGCCGGCTGATATCGCCGACGCATGTCATTGTCAATGCTTTTCTGGGGGCTGCACTCCGCTCAAGTCTTTATTAAAGGGGGCGATCGAAGACTGGAATTTTCAACACCAACCTAGACACTCCCCAGAGAACCGCGCTTCAGACTATAGAAAGTCACTACGAAAGCTTATCACCGGGTTTATTCTATATCTCGAGTATTTTTGGTGTCATCTTGAGATCAGGCATCACATTACGACTCTTCGGTTCATGACCTATACCGCGTTAGAAATACCCCATTCCTGTTCTTCCCATTGTCCTTTTTATATGTCCGAGGATGTTTCTAGTGTTATTGAGGATGAACTCAAAGATGAGCAAGCATCTGATCTGGAACTACTGGAAGAGCTCTTGCATGGGTTCGAGGGCGAGCTCATTGCAATCCTTCAAGACCCGGACCGGAAGATTACCGATCTTACCGACTTCTGGAAACGTACCTGGACGGGTCGAATGGCAGAGGTTCTGGCTCACCTTGAAGGATGTGATTTGTCGGATGAAGAGAGACGCGCAGCTGAGGGAATTGGGCTGGTATGGAATAAATCACTACCTGAACAACGATCTGGACCACGTAAAGTGGGAGGAAACCCCTATCGCTTCAGAACTTGGGATTTCTGGATGTATGAGCTGGAGAAAACTGAAGCAAAGTGTCAGTGAGAGGCAAGCAATAACTGCTACGGTCGGAGGAAGTGTTCTTCATGTATTAGGCCTCGTGGTCCAAGTACAAATAGTCTCTTGAGAGTGACACCGAAGTTTGTCCTAGGCATATATCAAGTAATCCGTAAGCATTTATACTCAGGGCTTCGAGTGGTTATTTCTCATTATCAACGGCACTTTTAGCCTCCACAGTTCTAGCATAGCGTTCTTCATAGCTAACCATAAATTACATCCTAATTATCCATGTAGACTAGAATTACGGCGCATATGATAGACAAGGACACTAAAAGCGCCGCGTTTGTTCCACGAAGGCCCGTGCCGACCGTATAGAAGACGGTGCTTTTAGATGTTGTGGGGGTAGTAATGTCCGTTGCCGGTTGGGAATTTGGAGCAGAAATCAGGCTCTTTCTTTCTTCTCCGGCTGAATGTGGCTTCATAGAGAGTGTCTTGTCTTTTTGGCCTCGCGGCGCCCATAGAGGCTATTGTCACATTTCGGCCGAGTCAGCTTCATATGCTCCAGAACCTCGGCTTTTATTACAACCTGCTAGAGCAAGTAACAATCTACGTTGAATGTGGCATTTGCCATTAACCCCACGCGCGCGCCGTACCCAGCCGGCCAGCATCATCTATTACCCAAGTCCGCCCGCCGGGGCCTAAAGTCATGGATCCAGTCTTTAAATCTTCCGAACCCAGAGAACACTTTCACTGCGACCGATGGCTCGCCGTCTCACCTACATCTTTGGCCTATCAATATTGTGGTCCGCCCTTCCAGTGGCAGGCAGCGGGCCGATCCGGAAAGCGGAACGAGTCTTCCAAGAGCATGGAGAATGATCTCAACGGTATGGTGACGATAAATGAACGATAGCTACCATGACTGGACCCAAAAGGAAGCTGCTTCAAGTCGTACAAGTTCCATGGACGTGGGACGGGCAATGTGGATCGATGGGACTTCACGGGCTCGGAGTACAACGGCTTCAACCTTTCTTGATCTGTTGCTATAGCGCAGCGATGGAAGAGGCTGATTCTCAAAAATCATGATTGTTACCCGTCGCTTTGCCAGGACTAAGGGTCCATCAGACTCAAGAAAGACTACATTCCCGGTCTTGGTGACACCACCGACCTTACTATCGTGGGCCAACACAATGACATGAGAGAACCAGATGGTCTTGTGCTTAGAAAGATGGGGGACTTCAATACACCATTCAAGATTCGCAGATACTGAATATGCTAGCAATCTATGCGCACAGGCCCTTGAGCGTCCAGGGCGAGTATTTAGACGGCATGAGCCAAAAAGGCGTTCCGTCAGCAAGCGTCAAACTGCGCTGCATGTCATGCAGCTGATGGGGATCGTGCGTAAGGGCAGCGGGTGGCCTTGCCGTACATGGGCCAATGCAAAAGCCTCGATCGCCATGTGGCGGAATCTATCCGCTGTTTGGGGGAGCAACGCTGGGGAACAGGCTGAATGGAGTTTCTAGTATACGGAGCACGGAATGCTGGTTGCGTCGTCACGCGGTTCATGACCGGGCTTCCCAGCTTCAATGTCAGCTCTGGTCAATGCGCTCTTTCTGAGTTTGTGCTGCAGAATGCCGTTCTCAGACGGCTGGAGAAGAAAAAATGCTAGGCTTGTCTTGCACAGAAACAAGTGGAGGAACGGTTAAATTGCGAGACATTGGGCGGTGGCCTTCGAAACGGGACATGCGGCGGAGGCGTGCGGGCGCCGTGGAAACGGAGGATCCACTGGAGGACTGTTTACATGGTGGCGTGATATGATGGATGGGTTGGAGATGGGAATTGGTGGTGATGATGATTGATTGATGATGATTGATGGTGATGGGGATCGATGTGTGAGGATGAAGATGTAAGAACAAACGGATAAAGGTATTGGTTTGGCAGCTGGCAGCTGGCAACTGGCTGCATGCAGGTTGGTACCATTGGCTGGCTGCATTAAATACTGTTGCCCTGGCTAAATAATTCGTGACACGGTAATCCGTACCTGCACCCGCACCTTGTACCCGCATCTCGTTATGCCGCTGTCCAGGTACCCGCGCCCATTGCTCATGATTCCCCACCCAATCTTTAGTTGCACATAATAATACAAACTGGTACAGAGTGCAGCATAAACAAAATCCTTATTTATTTATTGGCAACTCGCTCGACGTCAATTTGTGCCCCGGCCAAGTCAATTTACCTCACGGAACAGCTGGCCCAAACTCAATCCATCCCTGCCCTCAGCCTATCAAGTTGGCCACCTACCTAGTTCGGTGGTTCCTTTGGTGCCTCAACTGAGCGACCCCTGATTTTTACTGGTGCCTGTTGAGTGTTGACCCGCGTCCAGGCGCGTCACCTTGTATCCGGCTCACAGGTGAATACGGTAAAATTATTATTACCAAGTATATTTTCGACTGCAGCTTGCTGCACCCACCGTGCCGCATCTCACCGCGCTGTACGGATACCCAACTCCAAAACTGCTCCCACACACACTGCCGCTTCTCCGTGCCCTGCATCCCTTACCTTGCTCTCGAAGCTTGTCTGGAACTTGAAACGCTCCCTCCTGTCATCTGTCCATCTTTTCATCTTGGTAGGCTTAAACTCTATTTACCTGGATCCGACCGTTTACTGGCGTCAACGTCACCTCTTCCCCTCATCTCCCTGCCTGTGCCCACTCCCAAATACAACACAATACCTGCCGCATACCGGATACCTACAATCGCGCCTCCTCTGGCTTCCAACGCGCGGGTCCCTGCGAGGACGCCGCGTCTACCACCGTCGTCATGAGCCAGGTCAAGAACCTGCGTGCCATGTTTGAAAGCAAAGGCGATACCAGCCCGCCCGATAGCAGAGGACGCTCTCCAACAGGTGGCTCACCCCAGCACCACCACCACCCATTTGGCCGCCCACGCAAGCAGCGCCTGCTCTACCTCCACTACCAATCGATACCCCGCGACAAGTGCCATTATCTCACGATAGCGTCGGTAGCTGGGTATTTATCTTGTTGGTTCGGTTGTGGCGCAGAGACGGCTGCTCGCGTGCTGCGCTACCAAACTCTGATTTACTGTGCTACATTTCGCTAACAAAACCTCTACAACAGCAGCTTCAGCCACCTCCGAAGCTCCCAGACCCCTCTCCAAAATCAGAACTAGCTTTGTCGCCGTAGAAAAAGACGGCCGCGTGGGACTAAAACGCGATCAGAGCGGCGAATCCAGCGTCTCCCGACGACGTCTCAGCAACGACACAGAGCCCAGTCTCTACCGCTCCAGAAGCAAAATGTCAACTCAAGACGATTCAGTCAGAACCCCGGCTCCCGAGTCTATCCCTGAGGCGCCGGATGCTGCCGAGACCGCCGTCGAGCAGCCCAGCAACATCTCCGAAGCGGCGAGCAGTTCTCCGGCCAAAGCCAAGGAAGCGGCTCCAGTCAAGCCTACCACTCCACGTCCCACCACGACAGCTTCCAAATCAGCTTCCAAAACAGTTCCCAAATCCGCAGCATCCAAAACGGAACCTACGAAGCGACCCGGCAACAAGCCTGTCGCATCAACGAGAGCCACCGGCGGCACCACTCCTATCAAGAAGCCAGCTTCTGTCAAGACTGGCGCCAATGGCACGGGTTTTGTCAAGCCCAAGCCAAAATCTCCCACGAAGCCTGTCAACCTGCCATCGTCGCTGATGGCTCCGACAGCTGCTTCTGCCCACAAGGGCGGAGCAAGTCGACAGTCGAATCTTCCCCAGTCCGCCAGCACACATGCTGTTGGCGCTTCTGCTGCGTCGAAGCCCGTGAATAGTAAGAATTCCGTCGTGAACCGCCAGCGACCAAGCCTTGGAGTCCCCCCCATCAACAAGGCGGCGCAAGAGTCAATGCCGAACAAAAGACAGAGTCATGTTGACGAGGGCTTCCTTGCGCGTATGATGCGTCCTACCGCAGCATCCTCAAGCAAGACGACAGAAAAGGGTGCTCCCTCCACTCCTCCGAAGAAGCCTACGCCGCGGACTTCAAACGTTGGCGTCGAGAATATTAAGCGTAAATCCAAGAGCCCAGTGCCCCGTCGTGCCGGATCTGTTGCCCGCTCTAGGGAAGCCACATCTCGGGCCGAAAAGGTACACGCAAAGCCTGCAGCCAAGACGGCTTCCACTGTGGCGAAGGCGGCCGCTTTACCCGCAGCTGCCGCTACTGCCGCTGGTGCTGCCGCCGTTGCCTCCAAGGCTGTCCCTGATACGACTGTCTCCAATCTGGCCGACAAGCTTAAAGATCTCGAAATTGAGGAGTCAAAGCAGGAGCCAAAAGAAGAACCAGCGTCTGAGACTGAGCTCGAAACTGAACAACGACCCGAGACCGAGGCTGAGCCTGAGGCTGGGACTGAGCCTGAAGCGGAAGAACACGTTCAGGATGCGCCTATTGAAGACCGGGCGCTGGAGGCTGAACCTGAAGCTGAGCACGATATTGCCGAGGAGCACGTCCAGAAATATATTGAGGAATGTGAAACTGTTGAAGATACCCAACTCGAACCTGAAGAGGAGCACGAGGCAGCTCCTGTTGGTCACATTGAGGAACCCGAGCTTATCGCTGATGCAGGGACACTCGTTCCGCATAATCCCATCGATGAACCCGTTGAAGAACCCCCCACGCACGAAGAACCAGCATCTCTCGAGCAGGCCACTGTTGAAGCCGCTCAGGTCGAGACTGCTGAGGAGGCCATTGAAGTCGCCGAGGACGCGGACCCTGAGCATTGCAATAGCTTCATTGATATCGCTAAGCCCGTGGAGTCTGGCATTAACAACTTCACCATCAAAGGGGGTATTGTTGGCAACGGCCATGTCGACAAGGTTGACAGCGTCGCCGACATTGAGCCCGCGTCTAGCATTTCGAAACTTGCCGAAACCACTCCCGAGCACAGCGAAAAGGCGACCGACGAGGTCGTCGGCAAGGATGCTGACACGGCCGCGTAGAGCAAACGGGGGCCTCACTGCTTGTGGTACCATACACTTCTTCTTTTTGGGCTGGGCTGTGTCGTGCAGACAGCTATTCTCTGGAGTCTGGCGATACATCAACCGGGCTCTGGTGACTGGAGTTTCATACTGTAAAATATTTCTGTTAGACACAGCGACGTACCATCTATTTAATACCAAGCGATTTCAGCGATTATTGGATCAAGCCGTTGCATGCCTACTTGTTCACGCGGTGCTGCCATGCAGTGTTTGTGAATAGTTTGTAGTGTGATGCATGGTGTATTTGATGTTGATATCTATTCGTACAATGAATGACCTGCTGATCTTGTAATTGTAACAGCTATGATACATGATGAAATTGTGCTGCCCCAGTACCATCTGTCCTCGCTAAACTTTTCCTCACATTCTCCTCCATCCCCCCCCCCTCCCTGCCTCGACTGACGCCATTCCTCCAAACTACGACACCCTGCACAGCATCGTGCCGCCCACCTTTTTCGCCAGCGCCTCCCTCGCCTCCAGCACGCCCTCGCTCGTGTCCAAGAACAAGCACTCCCCCAGCGTCAGCCCCTGCATGACGCCGGCGTCCAGCTTGGTCGGAAACCCGCGCACCACGCGCGCCAGCTCCTCGGGCCGGACGGTGACGCGCCGCGCCGGCGTGCTCAGCGCGCGGCACGCGCCCAGCACGGGTTTTCCGTCCCAGTACTTGAGCCCCAGCCACAGCCGGCGGCTCGCGACGTTGGCCGTCGTGATGGGCTCCATGGGCCGCGTGAGCATGTCCTCGGCCGACGGCGGCGTGGGGCCCGCGCGGTACACGGAGGAGAGAAAGCCGGCGCGGTGGAGGGCGGTGGCGAGGCGCATGCTGGATTTGGAGGACCGGAACGAGGTGAGGCCGAGGCGCGCCTTGGAGGCGTTTTGGAGGTGCGAGCACATGTCGACGAGCGTCTTGAACGACATGCTGGATGTTTGTGTGTGTGTGTGTGTGTGTATGTAGATGTTCGTGGTGATGTAGAAAATGTGTCGATTGATGGACTGTGAGAAGCCGCCGAATCTCGGCTTCAATGATCAAAGCAAAACGTTTCGAGCGTCTTTTGGACAATGTTGGCGGCAAGCTTGTGGGTTGACGTGTGCCCCGGCGGTGGTCTCCTGATCTGCAGAGCTTCGGGACGGCTCGCGCGGTCCTCGCCGATTCAGTGTCGGCTGGCGTATATGTTGCCGGGGTCGGCTAAAGCTTCCGCTGTGGGCTCTGAGCGACTTCTTTTGCGCCGCGTTACTTTCGTGGGCAGCTTCAATGGCACGGTGGCAGAGGTCGAGAAAGGATGTCGTCGCATGTCCTTCACTCGCAGGGTCCGCCAAAATTTCTTGGGACACCCCGAGTGGATGACTAAGCTGGTCGTGGTCAAAACCAACGACAATGTCAGTTGTCCGCGAGTTTAATCATAGAGGATGCATGAAATTAACTCACTTCTGTATAAACGAGTGATTTCAAGAAAATTATTTCTAGATCTAGGGCAGTTGAAAAAAAAAAAAAGGCAAAGTGCTAACAGTGGTGCTCTATTGAAGAATTATATTGTACAATTTCTGAATGGATTAGCCATGAGATGCAATCCAAACACAAAATCTCCAAGGCTTTTTGGAAGATTTCTATATTACATCATTTGCCATATAGCGACGGCATTGTGCCACAATTCCTTGAGCGGCCTGCGGTAGCTATACGCGACGAAGATACCCGCCGCCAGGAACGGGCTCGTCGCCAGCCCGGCAAGCAGCCGGCCCAACACCCGGCCCTGCCTGTCTGTTCTGCGCACGCACTCGGAATACGGACGGTTGCTAAACACGACGAGCGAGTACTTTGTCTGCCACCCAAGCCACGGGAGGCGATAGGACAAGAACTCCTCAAAGGACTTGCGGAGCTTGTACGCGACCGACTGCGATGTGCGCATCTCAACGTAATTTTGGAACGCAAGGTCGTTAATAGTGTAGGCGTCGACCCAACGCGTAGCCGAGTACTCAGCGAGTGCCTGCGCATGTGCCTGCTCGGAGGCGGCGGCGGCGGCAGAGACCTCCTCGTCCTCGTCCGAGTCGGACGCGGAATCGCCGACGAGCGGGTTGTTGGTCTCGGCGAGCTGGGCCGCATGCTTATCGAGGATGGAAAATAGGATGCGGACGTCTTCCATGCCCGTGTTCATGCCCTGTCCGTAAAATGGGACCATGGCGTGCGCCGCGTCGCCGATAATGACGCCCGAAGAGCCAAAGTGGTAAGGCTTGCACTTGAGGCTGATGAGGGGCAGGTGCGGGTTCGTGTTGAAGGCCTCGACGAGAGAGGCGTCGGAGATGTGGTCTCTCACACCTGGAAAGTGGACATCAAAGAAACTCGGGACCTGTGAGGGGTCGGCCTCGAGCTCTGCGAAATAGTTGGCCGGTAAGAAGAGCGTGCAGGTGAATGAGCCGTCCTATGCGAGAGTCAGCAACGGGCAAGTGATGACATTCAAGTCTGGCAGCATCAACTCACCTCGCTAGGAATCGCAATAAACATGAAATCCTTGCCCGGCCAGATGTGCAAATGGTTTGGCGAGATTTTCCACGTCTCGGAGCCGTCGGCCCGCGCCTTGCCGGGTTCAATGCGAAACTCGCACCAGAGCGTGTCAATGTATTCCTGCTGGTAGTCCATGCGCGAAAACTTCATCATGTGGTAGCGCACCGCCGAGTGCGCGCCGTCGGCGCCCAACATGATGTCGAAATCAATCTCCATCTCGCGCGGGCGGCCGCTCGGCGAGAGCCGGTCCCGGTTCTCGATCCAGGCCTTGCGCTTGCGAAAGTCGGCGCCGGTGAGCTTGTGATTAAAAAGGAGCTCGACATTGGGCAGATCCTCAAGAGCGTCCAGGAGCCTGGCGTTTAAAGCGCCGCGGTCCATGGCTAGATTGCACTGCGGGTTTTGTCTTGTTAGCCGGGGAACCGGAAGGGGGGGGGGTTAGTTCGGCCTTTGCATGAAATGAAAGCGGCGACCGGGCAGTGGCAGCAAACTTACTCGGCCGTGGATGTCAAAATCCTGAGGCACTTCATACAAGGCTCCAGAAGGCTTCTTGCCGTGAATCATGCGGCCGCGCATAGGCACGCAGGCTCCGAGAATATCCTGGAGCAGATCCGGCAGATCGGCATGGCGGATGGCGTTAATGCCTCGCTCCGAGAGCGCGAGGTTGATGGACTTTGTAAAGTTGAGGGGAACGATGCGGGGGTCCCGGAGGTCTGGCGAATGTCAGAATATGAATAGGCGAACTGGATAAATATTTTTGTCAATTGTCTCAGCCTACATACCAGGTCGCAACTCGTACACCTCGACTTGGTAGCCTCGTCGAGCTGCATACAGGGCGGCCAGTGAGCCAACCGGGCCGGCGCCCACTATGACCATTTTCTGCGGCGGTGCCATGGTACCTGAATGCTGACGGCGCGAGAGAGTCTTGAAGTTGAAAAGAGACTCGAAACAGGCAGAGGCCCCAGCTACAGGAGGATACAACTCTGCCAAATGAAAGGAAATCGGGAACCCCGGGAGGGAAAATGTGTTGGTTCTTTGGACGAGGGAAAGAGGAAAACAAGAAGCCGAGGGAATCGGCGCCTAGACCGGTCAAGTCATCAGATAAAGAGGCGAATCGAGGCCGTGACTCAGGTACAGCAGAAGTACAGCGGGTGTTGGCGGGCTTTTGGTGGGCTTTGACAATTTTTCAGAGGCTGGATTGGATGCTTTCCAGCGCCTCACAGCGGCAAAGGCAGTAACGGGGCACGCGAGGTCCCCTAAAACGCTAATTTGGTCAGTCAGCCAGCCCACCTTCTCCAGCTCAGCACGCGACTTTTTGCGCTACGCTCAGTGAGACTTAGCTCGAATGAAAGCACCTGATTTTGCTTTCTCAGCTTCTGCCGTGCAAGTCAAAGATTAAGACAAAAAAAAAAAAAAAGTACGGATAGGCAGAAAAGTCTGGCAGAAAACTAAACTGGCTCTCACCACCTTGGACTTTATACGTCCATCGCCGCCACCACTTCCTCTACCGCAACAGCTCAATTCGTGATTTTAGTACCATCTGCCAACTCTTCTTCATTCCTTTCTCCCGCTTCATTGCATCTCAATCTGCCACACCCACAGCCGCCCGCCATGGCTGCTGAACCCCCCGCAAAGAAAAAGTGCCTTGGCGTCGACTGCGACAATGACGCCGGCACCCTTCAGTGCCCAACCTGCCTCAAGCTTGGTAACAAGGACTGCTTCTTTTGCTCCCAGGACTGCTTCAAGAAAAGCTGGGTACGCCATACGCGAATATTTGTCTGGTCCCAACCCAAGCATTGCCATGCTAACAGCGTTCTCAGGGCACGCACAAGTCCATGCACAAATCTCAAAGTAATATCCTGCACCACCTGCTCGCCCCGAAAGCCATCTCACCAGATCCAGCCACCGGTTTCTACAATCCCTTTCCGAGCTTTCCATTTGCCGGCAAACTGCGACCCGTCTACCCTCTTTCCGAGCACCGCACTGTCCCGCGATCGATCCCCCACCCCGTCTGGTCCGAGGACGGCAACCCAAAGTACAGCCGCTCGCTCAGCAGCCGCACCAAGTTTGAGATTCTCGATGCAAAGGGCATAGAAGCCATGCGCAAGGTCGCCAAGCTTGCGCGCGAGGTCCTCGATCTGGCCGCCGCCGCCGCCGTCCCCGGCGTCACCACCGACTACATTGACGAGATTGTACACAAAGCCTGCGTCGAGCGCAAGGTGAGTTTCGCAGAGACGTTGAGCGCTCTTGTTGCGCGCAAATTGCTGACGTTGGGTCCAGTCGTATCCATCGCCCCTCAACTACAACCACTTTCCCAAATCTTGCTGCACGTCGGTCAACGAGGTCATCTGCCACGGCATCCCCGACAAGCGCATCCTACTCGACGGCGACATCCTCAACATTGATGTGACCCTGTACCACGAGGGCTACCACGCCGACCTGAACGAGACGTACTACATTGGCGACCGCGCCAAGGCAGACCCGGACAATGTGCGCGTCGTAGAAGCGGCCCGCGAGTGCCTGGACGAGGCCATCAAGGCCGTCAAGCCCGGTGTGCAGATTCGCGAATTTGGCAACATCATCGAAAAGCACGCCAAGATCAAGGAATGCAGCGTCATTCGCACGTACTGCGGTCACGGCATCGGCAAATTGTTTCACTGCCCGCCCAACGTACCACACTACGCCAAGAACAAGACACCTGGCGAGTGCAAGGCCGGCATGACGTTTACGATTGAGCCCATGATTGCGCTGGGCAAGTACCGAGACATTACGTGGCCGGATAACTGGACGAGCACGACGATCGATGGCAAGCGCACCGCTCAATTCGGTAAGAAGATGTTTTCCTTTGATTTGAGTGGCAGGCAGCTAACGTTTAACTACAGAGCATACCTTGCTGGTAACAGAAGACGGCGTCGAGGTGCTGACGGCGAGAAACGAAAACTCTCCTGGCGGTGCGATTCCCATGCCTACAGCGGCGTAATTAAATCATGACCAAGTAGCGATTGAAGTTGAGAAAAGAACTTGTTGCATTGAAAAGCGAGGTGTTGGCGGCGTTGCAGATGAGCATAATTGGCCACGGCCAAGTCGAGTAACGAGAGATGTGGCGAGTCAAGGTGGACTTCCACAGATTATACAAATCCAGATAACTACGATTGCTGAGTATCGTATTTGTTGTTGCCTACCGACCGTGTTGGATATTCGTGAGCTCGTCATTGGTAGCCGTAGAGGTAGGTAGAGAGTTTCAATCACATGCCCAACGCCTCTTGGGCCAGAACATGAGTCGTCCAACGGCCGCTAACAGTAGCAGCATCCGCCTGTACCAACAGGGCACTGGGGCACTGAATTGCGGGCTGACCAGCCAGCTTACAGCACGCTGCAGCGTCACTTCAGCATCTTTTTGGTCCCTGCGCGGCCCTTTTGTAGGGCCTGGCTTCTCACTGGCCCAGCCTTTGCCACCACCGAAAGCCAATCTCGCAAGGTGCAGGCCAGGAGAAAAAAAAAAATCGCCATCGTCGCATCCACTCTTCAACCTTCCTTCCCTCCCCACCAAACCCGCCTTGCCGTCTTGACAGCCAGCTTGCCAGCCAACCCCCCAAAGCTCTTCTTCCTCTCCTCCCCTCTCCACGACTGACTCCCCAATTCTCACCAACAACGGCGCGCACCCCCGTGTCCCATCTATCTAGCTCCAGCGCAAACGGATTTTCAAGTAAATCCCCTCATTTTTCCTCTTTGCTGGCTCTGACTTCACCGCTACGGGACCCCGGAAGCTCCGACTAACGCCTTTGCCCTTACCGAAAGCTGCTAGGCAGTTCGCTGACGACATCCTCCGGCCGTCCCCTCCTCTCCAGGCAAAGCTGCAGAAAGCTTCGACTTTGCTTCCTCTACGTACCCGACTCCTTCCCGCTACCAGAAACACACGTCACGATGATGTCCGGCGAAGCATGGCTGTTTCTGCTGTCGGTGTTGATCAACGCCGTCAACCTGTTTCTGCAGGTCTTCTTCACTATCATGTACAGTGATTTGGAGTGGTATGTTGCCCTGCCATCGCTTAATTGGGCCCAAACATCCGCGCGACAAGCTCTTGCTGCCGTACGGCGAGCTTTGAGGAATCCGGCTAATCATATTTTGTCAATTCAGCGACTACATCAACCCCATTGACCTCTGCAACCGCCTCAACACCTACATAATCCCCGAAGCTGCTGTCCATGGTTTCCTCACCTTCCTGTTTCTGATCAACGGCTACTGGCTGCCCTTGATTCTCAACCTGCCTCTTCTTGCCTGGAATATCAAGAAGTAAGTTCTGTGCTGATGCCTTTTGGCCCACTCTCAAGATCATTGCTAAATGGCCCCTCAGGATCGTTGACAACACCCATCTTCTTGACGCCACCGAAATTTTCCGCAAGCTCAACGTCCACAAAAAGGTACGACTTGTTACTGCGGAATTGTACCCTGCGAGCATTGCTAATCCCACGACAGGAATCTTTCATCAAGCTCGCTTTCCACCTGCTCATGTTCTTCTTCTACCTCTACAGCATGATTGTTGCACTTATCCGCGACGAGGCCGCATAAAGGCTCTAGCGGCTCCATGAACGACTCAGGACACCTTGTAATGATATCCGGAAAGGCGACACCCGCCCCTCCATGTACAGTCGGCCCTGGTGGTTTCTTATGCACAGGCGCGCGATTAATATTTGGCTTCCTCGTGGTTTGCTCTTGTGGGTCAAGACATGACGAATTGATGCTAGGATGGAATAGAAAGGATTTGCAAGGTTTACGGGCTTGGGATATGTCACTTGGCTTTGGCACGGGCTATCAACTGGAGTTGATAGCCCATTTTGTAGATTGAGCGTTCGCTCTTGGAAGAAGCCTCGGCGGTTTTCTTCGAGAATCTTGGCGGGCCTCCTATTTTGCAGCACCGCTAATGAGATGTTTTGTACCACATCCAATTCTTTTCTTCCTAAAGGACTTGTAGTCGGCTTGATCGCGTCGTGCAAAGATAGACTTGGAACACTTGCATCACAACCATTAAAGTGGGTCACGTGATCGCATACCGAACCTCTGTCAGAAGTCTCCTTCCCAACCATCAACCTACCTAGTATATATTCTACGTGGCAGCCCTGCAATCTTGAACTTGTTCTCGTCACCAAGACCAAGTCGACCATGGCAGATTTTGGGGAATACCCGCCCAATATGGCGCCCCAGGATGCGCTGGTCGTAAGAGAGCAAGCCGGGCCAGACCATGCCGTGGTCAAGTATTCTGCAGAGGACCTCTCACGGCCCAAAGTCGGTCCAGTCAACCCCTTCAAGGAGGAGACTTCGGCTACCGTCAAGCGAAAGAACGTCTTGACGGGCACGGCGGAGGAGACGTTTATTTCCGAGCACACGTTTCGCAGCAAGCACCGAGCCATCGAGCGACGCGGCGGCCCCGAGCGCGAGTACCAGACCGTGGCCCAGCGCAAGGAGGCTGCCGCGCAGGTGCGGGCCTCGCGTGAGAGCAAAGGCAGCGCGACGATTGCTGAAGGTCCCGGCAGCTACGTCGGCCCCTGGGCGCGCTACAAACGGGCCGAGTACGAAGTCGTCGACGAGAACGAGCAGCTGGCGAGCGACGAAGAGTACGAGATTGTCGAGGAGGAGGATGAGGATGTGGTGGAGAGTGGTATGGTGGTGAAGGCGCCGGAGGCTTCGCTCGCGCGACGTAAAGAGGTGGAGGAGTTGGGCGACGAGACGACGACGTTCAACGGCACACAAGAGCGCGACTACCAAGGACGGACGTACATGCATGTGCCGCAGGATCTGGATATTGATTTGCGCATGGAAGTTGGCAGCGTCACGAACTACATCCCCAAGAAGCAGGTGTATGTTTGGAGGGACCATAGCGGCGCGGTCACAGCGCTACGCTTCATGCCCGCGTCGGGCCATTTGCTGTTATCGGGCGGCGCGGACACGACGGTGCGCATCCGCGACATGTACCACGATCGGGAGCTTCTGCGGACGTATTCCGGTCACAGCAAGGCGATTTCGAGCTTGAGCTTCAACCGCGACGGCACGCAGTTCCTATCCGCCTCGTACGACCGCATGATGAAGCTTTGGGACACGGAGACGGGTGCGTGCGTGAGCAAGTTTACCACGGGCAAGACGCCGCACGTCGTCGAGTTCAACCCGGACCCGGATCACAGCCACGAGTTCCTCGCGGGCATGTCGGACAAGAAGATTATTCAGTACGACGTGCGGGCGCCGCCGACGGAAATCGTGCAGGAGTACGACCACCATCTCGCCGCTATCAATACCATTGTCTTTGTGGACCAGAACCGCCGCTTCATGACGACGTCGGACGACAAGTCGCTGCGTGCATGGGACTACAACATTCCCGTGCCCATCAAGTATATTGCCGAACCCGACATGTATCCGATGACGCGCGCCGCGTTGCACCCCGGCGGCAAGTACGTCGCGTATCAGAGCTCGGATAATCAGATTCTGGTGTTTGGCGCCACGGACAAGTTTCGGCAGAACCGGAAAAAGAGCTACCGCGGTCATCACAACGCCGGGCTGGGCATTGACCTCGCGTGCAGCCCGGATGGGCAGTTTCTGGCGTCGGGAGACTCTGCTGGGTACGTGTGCTTTTGGGACTGGAAGACGTGCAAGATGTATCACAAAATTCAGGCGAGCAACCAGGCGGTGACGTGCGTCAAGTGGCACCCGCAGGAGACGAGCAAGGTAGTGACGGCGGGTCTGGATGGGGAAATTAAGTATTGGGATTAAGAAGATGGGAAGAGGAAGAAAAGAAGACAGCGATGGCAGCATATCATTGGGTGTTTTAGGCGTTTGGTCTTTTGTTTCTGGGAGAGGAAAAGAAGTTTGCACTCTGTAGATGGATGTGGCTGTTGAAGCCGCAATAATACAAATTTACACAAGAAAAACAGAGCCTGATTGGACACGAATCTGGAATCAACACCGCGCCAACGTTAGGCATTTAGCTATATGTCCTGCCTGTCCGTCTCGCTATCCTGTCCTAGGAAGAAAGCAGCCGTAGCCACGCCCGCTCGATGTTGTGTAAGCTGCATTTCTACACTCACCCAAGAATGCATACAAATAATGGACCCAGAGTCTTGGTTGCAGCTCTTGTGATACTAAAAAAAGAAAAATAAAACGCCATTCTACCGCACGTCATCTTTTCATCAGTTCTATACCCGGAGCTGCTAACCCTGCATGATGCACGACAGCTGCATGCAAAGTGACCCTGCATATCGTGCAGATCGTCCCCACGCTCGGAAAGGCCCGATTATACCAACAAAGATTGTCTAAAAAACGTTTCAACTGCTTGTGTACAGACAGTCAGTCATCACTATTCATTGTGCAACATGCTGTGAGAGGTCGGGCGCCGTATCCACCTGCGGAGAAGCGACCATGCCAAGCGCAGCCTAGAGCTTCATGAATCAAACGCCACTTCGCCCAAGCCGTGCCGTTTCTTTTTTCTCTTGGACTTTTTGTATTAACGCCTTTAATTTTCGCATTTTCATACGTTGTTTGAAATTCACCTCAGTTTTGTATGCCCCCGCCTTTGAGCATTATGAGACAATATCTCGCGATCTGGGCTTCGTTGGCGCACGCTGCCCTTGCGCTCTCGGCGTACGACTACAACAATCCCGGTGCCGCCCAACAAGTCCGCTTCTGGCTGAATGATGAGAGCGTGGACCTGGACGATGGCTTCGTTACTCAGATGCCGTTTCTGACGGGGACGGGCTTCGCGACAATGCCCGTTACCAACTGCTTCGGCGACGAGAAAGCGGAGGAGTTGCGCTACGATATCGCGATTCTCGGGGCGCCGCACGACACAGTAAGCAGGGCATCCACATGTGTAAAAAAATCTATTTCAGATACTCAACAGCTTTTTCTTCTTTCCTAGACAACCACGGGACGCCCAGGTGCTAGGTTCGGGCCTCCCGCCATTCGGCTGGGCAGCAACCAAAAGACGTATGGTCTCAGCGTATACACCAGTATTGTTGCTCCGTGATACACTTTGGCATTCTGCTTGTTGGAAATTTCGTATCATGTTCTAATGATGAGAAAAAAAACAAATGTAGAGCGCGATGCGATGCATGACTGGGCAACGATTGTGGACTGCGGCGACGCCAAGATGACGTGGCTGGACAACCGCGCCGCGCTCAGGACGCTGGAAACGGCGCACAAAAAGATTTCGGGGCGTCCGGCGAAGAGTGGTGATGGCACGAGCGCGCCGAGGATTATCACGCTCGGAGGTGATCACACGACGACGCTGGCGGCGCTGCGGGTGACGGAGAAGCATTGGGGGCCGGTGTCGGTGATTCATTTTGACAGTCACGTCGATACCTGGAACCCCAAACAGCTTGGTAAGTTTTGCGAAGATACGTGTGGTTCTATTTATACTCACTTGATGATTCAAAACCAGGCGGTGGCATCTCCGAGTATGCGTGAGTACACCAAGCTTCTTTGGCACGAGTTAAGCCTAACCAACAGCAGCGCTTTAAACCACGGCACTTTTCTCCATTTCGCCCACGAAGAGGTAAATGGTCGTTTTCCATGTATACTCGAGATGAAGAATCGACATTCCGCTGACCATGTAGAACCTGATTCTCAACTCGTCCATCCACGCCGGCATTCGCGCCCAAGTCACCGACGCCTCCGACATGCGCCACGACAAGACCTGCGGTTTCCACATCATCACCGCCCGCGACATTGATTTTATCGGCGTCCGCGGCATCATTGATCGAATCCGCCAGCGCGTCCAAAACACGCGCGTCTACCTCTCCGTCGACATTGACGTGCTGGACCCCGCCTTTGCGCCAGGTACGTTTTTGCGTTAGCATTCTACTGGTCTAGATGGAAAAAAAAAAAAAAAAAAAAATTTAATAACTGAGGAAAAACAAAAGCCACCGGAACGCCCGAGGCAGGAGGATGGTCATCGCGGGAACTTTTGACCATTTTGGCTGGGTTGGATGGAGTAGAGGTGATTGGGGGCGATGTGGTCGAGGTTGCGCCGCCGTATGATAATAATGCGGCGACGACGGCGCTGGCGGCTGCCGAGATTGCTTTTGCGATTCTCGAGCTCATGGTGTCTACACCGGTCAAAGCACCGGTCAAGGCTTAGCAATATAGAATCGTCTGTTTACCACGTCATCCAAGAGCGATGCACCTTTCACAGTGGTTGGTTGACCCAGCCAGCGTAGGTAAAATAGCAAGTACATGCTCCGGGAGGCCACCTTCCGTCAACTTCTTGACGCGTAACCGAAGGTGCATCATCATGTCTAATTTAACTTCTGATCCGCCGTTTTCATCGATCCATCTTCATCATTGCCATACTTATATCCTATTTCACCACACCATCCGCACCATGTCCAACACCATGCAACCTCGACGGCGACCTCGGCACATCGACCGCATCACCACCTGGCCGCGCAGCCACTCCCTCAATTACGACGGCGCCGCTGACGAAGAGCCTTCTCACGTCCCCGAAGAAGGTAACCACCTCATCCACCGCAGAATCGAGCGCGGCCGGCACGCCTACCTCGTTGCCCTGCAGTCATGGGCCGACGAGTACAAATCGGCCATCATCTGCGGCCTGAGCATCGTCATCCTCGTCATCATCTTGTGGTACTACGACGGCAAGCTCGCGCCGCGGCTGTCGCCTGTCGGTGCCCTCGACCTCGACATGGTGGTGATTGCGCTCGTCACCGTTGCGCGCGTGGGCGTGGGCAACGTTGTCGAGGCGTGCATCGCGCAGGGCGCCTGGATCTGGGTCGCCAAGACGCACCAGAGGCGTACAAACACTGTAGCGAGGCTCGAGGATTTCAAGCTCTTTGACGAGGCGTCGCGCGGGTTCTTGGGGAGCGCGGCGCTCATCTGGCGCATGAAGGGGCTGTAGGTGAACACACTCTTGAATTCCTGTGGCGTCTTGCTGATGCGTGACCAGACATCTATCTTGTATTGGTGCGGCCATTATCCTCTTCACACATGGTTTCGAGACGTTTTCGCAACAAATGGTGGATTATGTGCCGAAGCCGGTCGTCTTCAAAAACGAGACGGAGCGGTCCGCGCCGGCGAATTTCCGAAGCGATTATTGGGATAATGTTGAGCAGCGAGATTAGAGCACAGGTATGGTCATTCTGCCTCTGTACGCGTCGTCTGCTAACTGTGCGCAGACTTGACTCTTCAACTCTCAACCAAAGCCGCCATCTACACAGGCATCATTGCAGATGAGATTCCGGTTCTACTGCCTACCTGCTCTACTGGGAACTGCAGCTGGCCAATCTTCCCTTCGCTAGCTGTTTGCGGAGAATGTACCCCCAAGACCGTCCTCATCGAGTGTAGTGATGAGATCTGTGTTTATAATGTTTCTTCGAATACCTCGATCAAAGTCTTGCGTGGCGATGATAACGAGGCGTTCAAAGTGCGACCCATCACGGAACGCCCTTTGCTGAGAGAACAGGGAACCACGGCGTATCTGTCGATATTCGAGCTCGTCGGAGCCTCGGAGCACAAGTCAAAAACAAACTCAAAGGGTTTCGAATGTGCCCTCTGGGTCTGTATGAAAGCGTATGATACAAGCATGAATGATGGGCATCTGAGTCAAAGAATCATATCTGTGTGGAATGAAACACAGCTAGAAAAGAAGACGAACGCTCACCTGGAAGAACACGTTTTCATCAATGTGCCCAACGAGATGAATACGCTCGAGCATTCGCGGTACACCATCTCGGCCCGGGCAGTCGAAACAATTCGCAGATTCATGGACGACTTGACTAATGGTTGGTACCAAGACAACGGAGGCCGCGTCAACTTTTCCTCAGACTGGATTGAGGCCATTCATGACGGCTTGCCGGCCATGTCCGAATGGATGGACCAGCTAACCCTCAGTCTCAGCAACGAATTTCGTCGGCATGGCAAGCTCAGAGACAGTTTTAGCACAAGCTACGAAGGGAGTGCCACGAAACTGGCAAATTTTGTCAAGGTCAAGTGGCTTTGGATGCTGTATCCGCCGCTGTGCCTAATTGTTAGTCTCTACTACCTCTTTGCCACCATTTCAGCGAGCGTCCGCGACGACGTGGCGATTTGGAAGGGCGATTCGATGCCGATGCTGTTTAGCTGCATTCATCCAGACATTTTACACCTCGGAAGCGGCATGATAGATACGCACAAGGGACTCGACGAGCTGGGCCGCCACGGCATCGCGCTGGCCAAGTCCGAGTCGGGCGCGTGGGTGTTTGAGCCGACTGTTGAGCCAGACGACCATCGGGGACGGCTTCGCAGGGTGTTTCGATGGAGAGACTGACTGATGTGTGTAGCGTTCCATTTGTACATGGTTGACATGTTTCGCGGATGATGGAGACCTAAAAGCAGGACATGGAAAAGAAAAAGCAAGTATAATTAACAATCATCATATCTTGACCAAGTATCCAATAGTAGCAACCCAATTCAAGCCCAAAGCTCTTTCTAGATGATTAGTTTCATTCAGAATCCCATCTCCGACCAACTACCATCTGACCTCAAAACTGTCCATCTCTTGCTCGCTCACACCCTCGCACGCGCCGCACCCGCACCGAAACCCGTACCACCGGTACAGCAAGTCTGGCGTCTTGCCGCGCCCGTAGCAAATTGTCAGCTCCTCCCCCTCTGCGACCCCTCCCCCTTCTGGCGCGACCCAAAACCGCATCCGTCGCCGCGCCGCGTCGTACGCATAATGCACATTATTGGCCGGTTCGCACGCATGGTTGAAGCGCGCGGCAAGCGGAAACAAACCTCCCTCCGACGAGCTGATAGCGAAGCTGTGTGTCAAAAAATGTCAGTTATCACGACTCTCAATAAAATATCAAAGTAGCTCATTTTTGTGTATACCTGTTGGTGTCCCAGACGGCTTGGAGGTATGGCGTTCCTAGTTTAAAATGGCTGCTGGCGTGGAGCTTCATTGCCTTTTTTTGCCTTTTGCGACTTGCTCTGGTAAAGGTTTTGAATATGGAATCGCCTCGCGTCGACGTAAAGAGGGGCGTCTCTTCGAGGATGACTTCGTTAGGGAGGAGAGCGCGGGTGGCGAATGCGCCCATGCCGCCGGTCGGCGAGGGTCGCACGGCAAAGGGCTTGACTGATGAGGAGGAGAAGGAGGCGGAAGTGGTGGTGGTGGTGGTGGTGGGCGTGAGGAGGGAAAAGTTGGCGTCTGTGGTCGAGATGGGGTATTGTAAAGAAGAAGAAGAAGAAGAAGAAGAAGGAGAAGAAGAAGGCAATGGAGTGGGAAAAGTGAACAGAGGAGGGTCGGTATAGCCAGGGGAAGAAGTGAGAAGGAGAGGCACGTCAGGGGGGTCGGTGACGGCCGATGGAGGCGGCGTATCGACGGGAACGAGGCCGGGAGTAGACGCATTAATGTCGGGAATAATTGTCGCTTCCTGAATTGTCATTAGACGCTCAGTTTGGGCTTGCTGTAGTCTGCAAACAAGCCCGCACTCATCGCCTTCCATTGTCGCGGCTATTTCTTGACGAGTTGTCGTTGCGCGTGTAACTGCGCAGTCGCCAACCAACACCTCTTCACGCATGGTGGTGGTCTGCCGTTTAACCGAAATGTCCTGCAGAGATCCAATGAGTGTCAAGATTATAATTTTGCAAAAAGAAAAAAAAAGTAAGTCTCGACAGAGAAAAAAAAGCCCAGCCTCTCTGGTGTAAGCGAATTGCTGTGCAAGAGAGCAAGTTTCGTTCGAGTCCCTTGGCGCATCCCATCCACCAGGGTATATTCACTCAGAAGCACTCAGTTTGACGTCCTTGGGGCTCGTGAGATTTTCATCTACGTTGTTTTATCTTTTTTACTCGTCTGCCTCATTTCCATCACGAGTAAAGCCGATTAGCTCCTTGACCAGCGTCTCACAACCCCACCCACAACACGACCAACACGAGATTGACTGTGTACCACCAAAATTCCTCCAGCTCATTACTCTCGCTCTACAAACGGGGCTGCCATTGCCGACCATTTTGAGATCAGCGACAGCAACCCTGAAGTAGCAGAGCTTTGCCGTACGCTGTCTCTGCATCATCGATACTGACCTCGAGTCAAGAGGCAGCTGCTGCCTCTTCGTTGTGAATACATATTCGAGCAAATCCACTCGATATTGTTGAATAGTTATTTCAATTTGACACCATCTATTCAGTGTGCCTGAGCCCAATTTTCAAGTTGTACCCTTCCAGATCAGCCCTTCCACAACTCCGTGTTTGTATAGTGTCACATCGTAGTACAATACCCAACCGAAAACACCATATTAGAGCCCAAATGCGCAGCTTTCCAGAAGCATGCAGTCCCACGGATATCAATTTCTCCTTTCCAAACTAATCGCCACGTGTAATCGCTCCGAATAATCGCCCAAGTGACCGCCCAAATTCGCCCCGAGTAATTGCCGCCGGTATTTTTTCGTGGCCAGCGAGACCGGTAAAGAGATCAGCGTAAGAAGTTGAAACAATCGGTAGTCACAATGGCAAGATAACGCCACCAATCTGAAAGATGAAAAAAAGACACATGAAATAAATACGAAAGTCTGTTAGAAACCAAACTTCTTTTTGGGTCGCAGGGGACAGTCAGCGCGGCAGTCGGGGCAGCGGAGGCAGCCCGGCTTGGCCCAAATCCGTCGGCACTTGCACACCCAGAGATCGCGGCCAGTGCGAGTCGTGAGGCAGTCAAAAGGCACATGGAGGCCCTCGCGAACACCGCACTCGATGCAAAAACGTCGTAGGGCAATTTGCTTGTCTCGGCCAGGCTGAGGGTCGCGATCAGTCACTAGGCGTCCACTGGGGTCGACGTAGGCATGCTGGGGCTGCAGCATATCAAAGTGTTCGGGAGTGCGGACTCGGAAGCAGACGTAGCACTCAAAGTTTCCCGGCTTATAGTCGTGGCCTTTTTCACTAGGTCGGTGCTGTGGAAAGTCCTTGGCGGCTCTCATGACGAATTGAGCCTTGTCGGCAGGATCAGCCATGTTCTGAGGCTCGATTGTCTGATTAAAATATCGGTTCGTGCTGGACAAGTGAATCAGAGACTGATAGTCTAGATCATTATAGACCTTTTGCTGAACATTGCTGGGTAGGCGTTCAATGCCCGACGGCATCGTGGAGCTTGAAGGAGACTGCGGTGAGGGCAGATGGTACGGCTGGAACTGAGATGTGAAAGAGTGCTGCGAGAGTTGACGCGAATGCTGGCGCGAGTGACTTGAGCGATACTGATATTGTTGGTGTTGTGGTTGTTGTTGGTATTGTTGTTGTTGGTATTGCTGATGCAGCTGCTGTTGATAATGGGCGCCCTGTTGTTGCTGGTAGTGTTGGTGTTGGTGTTGATAGTGAGGCTGGTGTGTATAGTGATGAGAGTGCCTCTGATAGGAGTCATGAGCAGACTCGGGACTGGGGTATTCGGTTGCAGAGGCGTTGGATTTGCGATACTTGTGAGTGCCAGGAGGGTTCGGCAGAGCAATCATGGTCGAGGATGACATTGGAGGGGCCGGACAGATGGTGAGCAGGGATGGCAATAAATGAATGAACGACAGGTGCTGTAGAAGCGGCGGGCGATAATGCACGTAAATGTGCGTGGTGCTTGCGCACTGCAGGTGAGCTATCTAACCTGAGTGTTGTTGGTTGTTGTATCGAGACGGCACGCGATATGTTTGGTGTTGGATTGGGCGTTGGCTTCGTAGAGCGGATTGACAGCAGAGCAAAGGAAGCCTAATCAACAGGGTAAAAGAGAAGAAACCGAAGAGAAGGAATGGAGAATAAATATAGAAGTGAAAGAAATAAGTAAGTGATTGGAAAGACGGCTATTCGAGTGAGTGGATTGTGTCTGTTACAGAGCGTGTTTTTCGTGGGCAGCAGAAAGGCAGCTGGATCGGAGGCGAATCTGGACTTTAATAAAAGACGGGCAGGCTGCAGCAAGGAGCAGAACGTGCGACTAAGACGACGGGTAAAACCTGGGGTGGGCACACTTCAAAGACGTGCAGGCACTGGGGCGGAAAAGTCGATACCGGAGCGGAGCGGCGGCAACGCGCAGTGTGAGAGCGTGTGTGCCATGATGGCGCAGGGGCATCAACAGAATAAGACAGTCGAGTCGAGATGATGGTTTCCGAAAAGGGCGGGTGTGTTGGTGGGGAGGGCCCCCCGGCGGTGTCAGAAGTCTGGAGCCGGGAAAGAAGAATCAAAATAATTATGGGCATCGTACTCCGTAGTTTTTTCGGTCATATTTTGGCGTTTTCTTGCGTGCCACAGACTGTACATGTTTCTGGCATCATTGGGCGTGTTTCATCGAAGGGTGAGACACGTACTCTGGCTAGTCTTGCTGGGGCAGGCCTGGTATGCTGCCCTTGAAATCGAGAGCCTGGCACCTGAGAGTCGAGTTTAGGGATGTTGGCTGCGCGCTATGCCCTTTTCTTTCTTCTTTCTAATTGTCTTGTTCGAATCGGCTCTGTGCACCTGTCCTGTTCATATCGGCTCTGTGCACTTGTCCTGCTGAGATCCGTTCTCTGTGCACGCGAGACCCATGACATGTCCAATGCTATGGACCCGGGACTTGATGGGAGGGCGTGGACGCGATACGAGGCAGCGAGGTTGTACATGGTCCGTGGAGACTAGTGGGCAGGGTTGTGGAAAGCCAATGACGAGGGGTGAAGAATGCCAACAGCGACAACGACGTACGCAGTTATGCCCAACAAGCAAGTAGACCATTCCGGGGGACGAGCCTCGAGATGAATGGAGAGATGGGGTTGGATGGAAGGTGGTGCCGCAAGGGTGGAGCGGGAGGCGGAGGCTAGCGGCAAGCGAGTTTGTAGGGCGTGTCGTGGATTTGCAAAGGTGTGCGTGGTTGTAGATGGCGATACATTCGATTAGGGTAAAGGCTGGGAGGATGGTTGGCGTTCAATTGATGTTGTATTGAAAGAAAAGCTGTTTGGTGTCTGTCGAATCCGTGCAAACGTGCTCATGACGACGCCGGCCCGCAAGCAAAGCAAACGGCGGCCGTCTCAATTAGGCGATGGGCTGCCGTCGACGGCTGTGAGTCGTTTAGCAGCGGCGAGATACATTGACTTCATCCAAGCTGATATAATAGCACAGGTGCTACTTGCCTACCTTACCTACCTTGGTAAGGTACCTAGATAACGGCAGACGTACGATGTACTGCAATAGACTGATTCGCTTTGAGCCCCCGCCAGATTAGATGCCTCACACCCCCTGCAGGGCTGCCCTGCCGCCACGATTGCCTTGCAGCAGCGCCAACTCAATCCGTCATCGGCAGTCTCTTCGGTCCCTGTCCAATTGGCAATAATACAAATAAGTTATTCACATTATGCATAGCCGCATAGCCGCATGAAGAAGGAAATCGTAGCATGATGGAACCAAAAATAGAAGGAAAGAAAAAACACCAAGACAGACGCTCGCGTGTTTCCTCGACATGCCGGCTGGCTCGTCCCCTGCAAACACACTTGACACTCGTCTGATGTACTCGCTTATTAGGTAGGTACTCAAGGAGGCCGCCGCTCGGGAGGGAGAGGGGCGTGCCTGCGTCTGTGTCTTTGTCTCTGAAATTGAGACCTTTTCTGGCTTCACCTTCTTTTTATTTCTGCACATGCATTAGTTGGCGAGTTAATTATCGTCTCTAGGGCTTTGCAAAACAAATACGTCGCACAGGCGTTGCACAGCGGGAGCCGGCGGAATACGGAGTACGTGCCGCGCCATGGGAAGCAGGCAGCAAGCAACCCTGATACAAATCCCGCAGATTCATGCATGCAACTGCATTTCCTCTACGTTCATCCCAGCTACTGTGTCTTTTTTTTTCTGAATCTTGATTCAAACCGCACAACTACGTCCATGACGCATATTATAGTCGCTCTTGCTTCTTTATTCTCAGAGTCTAAACATCTGTCTCTTGAATCCTGTACATGAACACGCCTGCTCCAAGTGTTGGTTGCCAAACTATTCATAAGCTTACTGGTAGTTATTATCAGTTTTTTTTTCTACCAGTTTTTACCAGGCGGAGCCTCCTCATCTGTCTGTGCTCTGCAGCCTCTCTCTCTGCTGCCCCCGCCCCTCCCCCCCCTCCCCTGCAATGAACAAACCCTTTGTTGAACCACCAACAATGCTCCAAAGACTTTTTGTGCAACTGTGATGCTTCCATTGGTGATACCCTTTCTTGTCAAACATTCTTGTCAGGCTAAAAAAAAACTTGACATGATACTTGTGTCCGAGCTGCTGCTGCCTCCCGTTGTGCGACTGTTATCGCTTGTTCCAGACCTGACTCGGTCGGCTCTGTGCCACGTCGCGTAACCTGAACAGGTTGAGAGTTGGCGAATTGTTGCTCAGACGCGAAAGAAACGGTCGGTTGACATCTGCCGAAGGAATCTCACCTTTGTCAAATTTTTCTTCTTCCTTTCTTCCCTTTCTTTTCTTGTCGGCGTACCCCGTTCAAGGGGCACTCCCCCATAAAACCGGGATCGGGGACCACTTCTCATTTTTATAGAACAGGCGCTGGAACCAACTGCCGTCCATCTAATTCAACCTATCCGCCAAGGACAAGGATCTGTACCACCAACAGAGATGCATCTGCTCCAAAGCTTCCTTGACATGCTACGCTAGTCATGTGGTGCATATTTCTAAACCAAGTTGCATGTTTTCATTCCTGCTCATTACCAGTAACGCAAAGAGAAATATTTATTCGAGTATTCAGGTATCAACCATTTCTCAATTCCCAGATATCCACTCGTATATTTATATTCTTTCGTCAAAAAAAAAAAAAAAAAAAAAAAAAAAAAAAAAGGGGGGGGAAAAGAAAGGAAGAAAGAAAGAAAGAAAACTGCCTCGCTTACAATGGTTGCTTTTTTTTTGTTCCTCTCTTGACCAAGTGAGTGCCAGTACCCGTCACCTGCTCAACATGGAATGAACACAGGATATTGTCTTTACCAGCAATGACCAGAGAACGGGTTCAACCAGCCAGCCTGCTTTCCGATCATCAATGCACTTGCCATACTGGACCCCCCTCACAGTCGCTACAACGCCCATTTCACTGCCGGTTCTGGCATTGCTGGCGAGATGCAGCATGCGTCTTCAACTGCACCTTCACGGTACGTCCACCGACAATTTGACTCGATATCTACCATTTCGGCTACAACCCATCGTTGCAGTTCCGCGAGCAGCCAATTTGTTTCAATGACTTTTTTAGCCCCCAACTCTTCCCCACGGATATTGCAATATTCCATGTTGTGTAAATCCCCGACCGAGATCGACCGATTGCACATGACGTATCATTTGCGATGAATGGGGTTGCAATCGGGTGACGGTCAATAAGACGTTAACTCGATGGCTTGGAACTGACTGGGGCCGAATCGGCAAAGAAACGTGCCAGCTGCGGGATCGTCGCTGGTCATACATTTGAGCCCTGCAGCTTGATCTACCAGTATTGCATGTCCAAATTCGACAAACAAACTACTCGAAATAAAAGATGGGCATGTTGATTACTTCAGCAAGCAGGGGACTGTTGCAGAGCAATCCGTGCACCAAGTGACGAGTCGAGCACATTATCATCTTCCCAATCTTGACAAAAGGCAACAATTTGATATAAGAAGCCTTGCGCGCAATGTTGGCGGCCGACCTCGTGTTACAGGCGTGCAGCCGAAATTAAGATTATAATTGTAGCAAGAATTGTAGCAAGCACCGAAACGGCAGCAAAGGCCCTATAAATGCTGACGATATATTGCTTTGCTGCGCGGGATTTTGAAACAATCACGCATTAGACTTGTTGAAGACGGTAGATTACCCGGCTTGGGCATAAATAGCAAGCCGTGTCAGAATAAGCATGCATTTATCATTTTCCTTGATTTCCGCCTGCCCATGTATCCACAGCAACCTGGAAATAAAATCAGAGCGCGTATTTCAAGACGCATGGTCAGCGCAAAGATGACAAAAATTCTAAATGAAGAAAATACTACAAAATAAAAGAGTCACGTTTGTAACATTGGGCGAAGCAAAGTTCCGCACAGATCTATCGAGACTATCCCGCCAATCTAGATTTGCCGCAAACTCAAAAAGGATGGAACAGACAGCACCCGCGCCAAGAGGACATTTCCACTATTTATTTACCAAGAATAGCGCTGTTACAGGAACCTGCTGTCAACAATGACTAGCTCAATGGCCATAATTATATCAGCGCAGTGTACGGATTACAGAGTGTAAAACAAGCAAATCAGTTGCCGCACAGCCAGTTAATCCGAGACGCCAACAAGGAGGTCGCGACAGGGAGGGGTCTTGAGAGGACCCTTTTGAACCCCTGATGCAGACCGACGTCATTGTTTGAAGGTGCACTGCACGAATTTTGAAGGAATACCCAACTTTTTTTTGGCGGCGTGTGCAGCAACCAAGCTGTTGAACACGATTTTCGTACTCTGCGCCCAGCGTTCTGTCCAACGCCCATTTTCTCTCTCCTGTTTTCATTTTCTTCTTTTCTACGCTGCGCCTTTCTCCTTGAAGGTGTATTTGCTTTCTCTGCAACCTCTGATTCGAAACACGCGCACTCCTGCCTTCCCCCCCCCGTCTTCTCTCCTCGATAGCAAATGACCAACTGCACAAACGCGCCTCCTCAGGCGCCCAGCGAACCTGGAGTTGCCGGCGCCGGCGTATGTTCTTTTTGTTTCTTGTTTTTTTGTTTTGTTTTCAACAAGAAGAAAAGAAGAAATCGGGAAAGAAAGACTAACCAACCTTTGTTACACACCCCTCCCCAGATCCTCCTCTCCTTCATCATCACCGCCGGCCTCGCCCTCATCCTCTCCGCCAGCGTCATCCTCGCCGAGATTCGCGGCCGCCCCTCGGCCGTCCGGCGCAAGCTCCTCAACGGCTTCAGCGACTCGCAAATCGTCCAGGGCATCGGCGTGCAGTCCGTCGCCCTCGCCAAGATGGGCTCCCTCGTGCCCTACCACTTCTTCCTCGTCTGGATGCTGTCCCTGCTCTCCATGGCCACCCACAACGCCACGCTCCTCGCCCTCGTCGGCGACTACCGCCGCGACTGGGTCCTGCGCTGGCTGCGCCAGCTCCTCATGTTTGTCAACCTCGCCCTCTCCTCCGTCTCGGGCGTCTTTGTCCTGCAGGTCGTCTCCCGCGGCATGTCCTTTTCCACGCTGCCTGTCGCCTGCGTCTGGGACAATGGCGATGGCGGCGGCGGCGGTGGCGGCGGTGGCGGCGGCAACGCGCTCGGCAAGCCGCCGC